GGTCTACCATATCTTGGCGATGTGAAGTTAGGTCGTCCTATCTGTCCATTCAATCCACTAGCGCTCCAACTTCCCTCGTCTCTCATCTTTTTACGACAATCTCTTTGAAAGTGGCCATAGTTTCCACAATAGTGACACTGGACGCTGTTGTTTCGTCTTTGGTTTTGGACCACCGAGTAGTTAGGACAACCATTAGCGTAGTGACCATACTGATAGCACTTGTGGCACTGTACTTGGCCTCTTAAGTTGCCCGCATAAGGCTGGTGGTCATATCTGGGATCAGCAGGTTGGCCAAGATTGTGAGAAGACAGCTGATTAATGTACTGCTGGGGATGATAATTTGAGCCTTGTTCAATACCATAGACTTGGTTTTGCTGCACTGTTCTACTTTCTGTTCCATTGCAGCTCTCGTATTGGCCGACGGTATAGTGAGGTAGGCCCAATGGATAATGACTGTGAGGTCTGTTAGCCTGTTCCGCTTCGCCCATGGCCAGCGAGTCATGCCTGTCAATGCTAACTTCGTTTTTAAGAATTGCGACGTGGACATTATCCTCATCACGTAGCAAAGACCTGGCCCTATAAGCTCCGTCCAACTTGACGGCTTTTTCGAGAGCAGTTTTAAAATCTAGCTCAGGTTCGTTTATCAAAGAAACAGCAATTTCATCTCTGTTCAATCCTCCAGTCAGGGCATCTTTTAAAATGGAGTGCATGGCGTCTTGTTCATCAGCAGTGTAACCTAATTTAGCCAGGTCCATAAGTCTTTCTCCGAACTCCGACACTGTTTCATCCAGGTTTTGTTTAGCTTTTTTCAGTTCGTATCTTGCTTTGACCGATTCACTGGGGGAGGTCAAGGCTGTAATCGCCTCTCTACGAAATTCTGCCCAGTCGTCCTTCCTAACTAGGTCATTGGCAATCAAGGCATTTAGTGACTTTTGGTCCAGATAAGTCAGGAAAGTATTAATTGCCTCAGCACCTACAAGGTTCATTATCCTTCGAAAAGGTTCAAAGCTATCGAAATACGAAGTGATGTGCGAAGTGGTCGGGTCAAACGAGTTAGGTCGGCGACTCCCAGCAACTCCAGCTCTGAAGTCAACTTTGGCTTGGTTAGTAGCTTGCACAGCAGCCTCCCTTTGTGCTTGCATAATAAGGTTCTCCACGGCAGCTTTCTTTTCAGTACTCAGCTCAAGTGCTTCAACGGAAGCCATTTTCAATCGATGGAATTATTACCAACTTCGGGATCAGGAGTCTTTAGAACTTCAGTGCCCGGGTTCTCCACCAATTGTGCGCTGTAGGGTTTCTTTGGACAAGACTAAGGGGGACTAAGAGAAACGAGCACGTTATGAAACTGATTTAAACTATTGTAGCATATTTAACAGTAAGGAATATGGGAGCTAGCTGTTGAACTTCTTTGAAGTGACAAAACTCTCTCAAAATAATACGAGGCTGTGCTGATTAGAGCTGTTTGATTCAGCTTAAATAAACATGTCAAATTATCACGCTTATTTCAGTAATCAATCCTCCGACATCAATCACGGGCATCCGGTATTATCCTCGGGCTTTCCGGTACTAACCTCGGGCAACCCGTCTCAACAATAATTCGATATTCATGCATACAATATCATTATCTGCGCGTCTTGCGGCTTATCAATCACTTTCAAATCATCGAACAACTAGCTCCTAAATTCCGTTATCTTTAAAATTGATCGTTATATCAGTATTTATTTTTATTTTTAGGACTGGGCTTTGGCCGTAATCATTAATGAATCATTTGTCAATTATTTGGTATCGTACTGTGTCATGCTGTTCAAAGAAAGATTCCGCTTATTTGATCAAGTTTGAATGACTTGAGTTCTTTTAAAGAATTTAACACTATTTCAGGATTTGAGATTAAAGGGAGTTTATCATTTTATTGTTCTAGATTCAAATTCTTGTCTTAAAATCAGGAGATGGAATCAGGTACTGTAAAGAAATCAGTCTGGAATCAGTTGGCACAGCTCCACATTCAACTTTACAACTTTTACGTGAAATCTACAAAAACTAAAATTATTAAGAAACTAAAATTAAAATTCAAAATACACATGCGAACTGGATGTCTACAACCCTAACCCTAACCCTAACCCTAACCCTAACCCTAACCCTAACCCTAACCCTGACCCAGGACCCTGACCCTAACCCGATCAATTGACTCCAGTGTAATTACATGGGGGGTCAATTGTCGGGGGGTCAATTGTCGTACTAATCCCTAGATTTTGCGACAATTGACGCCAGTGTAATTACATAGGGGGTCAATTGTCGGGGGGTCAATTGTTAGGGGGTCAATTGTAGCGGTACAAAGCTCAGGACGGTGATCTTGATAGGTCGGATAGCTGTACCTGATTGGTTCCAGCCCACCGTGTCGCTTGGAATTAAGTTCTCACCCCACCTCTTCCAAAAATGCAGTTACCAGAGCAGGAAACTCTTCTTCCTCCTCTTCTTTCCACCCAAACACAATCAGGTTCCTGCTCCTCTCCTCCTCTGCAGCCACAATCTTATCTCCTTCTTCGGCGTTTTACTGTTGCAGACTGTATCACTTGCACTGTTCTTTTGCAGTACTCCTGCACTGTTACACTGTAGCTCTGTGTCCCTGACTCCACCGTGGTTTGTACTGCCCCTAAACTGCAATCTTAAGTAACTTTAGTTCCGGCACTCTTTGGCCATTAAAATAACCAACTCCAATGAAACCCCGTGTAGCTACGTTCTGCTACCTCCATGCTAGCACCACCCAGCTACCACCAGTTTATTCTAAGTCTAGCTATTTCTAGCAACCTCTCAATGCTATCTCCAGCTCTATCCCGACCCTGGCAATGACATATGGGGGTTATTCGAAGTATCTTGCATAGCAAACGAAGCGGCATGTGCATTCTCAACACAAAAAAGCCACAGTAGATGATGGAAGGTATATTTACACTTCCTATACCCCCCTATAATACCGGGCCTCTTGCGAGAGTGACAAAAGGTGCACAGTTAAAAGAAGCCCCTGTGAGAAATCGCATTTCTTGCACAACTGGGTCTAATTATTATAGAGGCAAAGAAGAGGTCCGGTACATTCAGATACCCGGTATAGATTGGCAAGATTGACGGTACAGAGAGGTTTTGATCATTGAAATCAATAAAATGATAGTATACAGCAGGTAAAATTGGTTCGATCTTAAACGGTCCTTTTGTGCTGTTTCTTTATGTGGAATTTGATAAAGCTGTATTGTAATTAGTTATGAAACTCTAATATTGTGTGGTTAACGTTTTTCAGGTTCAGCCCTTTCCGCTAAGCTATTCCTAATTACTAAAATATGCCGAGATTTACTGAACTCCAACTTCAAATATTGATGATTTTAGTATTCCCCAATCTAAAAAGGTTCGAAGTTTTTCTGCAAAGCATTTTTATCCACGTTTCATGCAATTCGATCACTTTTGGCGGAATTTTTTTTTTTCAAATTTTCGAAATTTTTTCAAGTCTCGAAAAAAATTTGTAAGTGAAAAAGTTTTGAAGTTTTTCTAAAAACTACATTTCTCCGTGTTTCAAACGATTTTAATTATTTTGAGCCAATAAAAATTTTTCACTTTTTTTGGTAATTAACTAATTGGTAATTATCCAATTAGCTGATTGTCCGATGTAAAAATTTTTCTTATAAAAGTTTTACTCCTTGATAAGATAAACATTCTAGGTTAATTTCCAGCCTTCTACGACGTTCACAACTAAAGATATTTGGCAAACCAGAAAGGTGGTACAAAGGTGGTAAAAAGTGGTAAAAAGTGGTGTTTCTGTCGAGATACAAAATTGGTGACAAGTCTAATTATGTTCGTAGGGGTTCTAACTACCATATTCCGTTGCTAAATCCTTGTGAACATTTAAATCCAACGGAATGCCACTTTTCCCCTTACTAAATGAATGTCCTGTACGTGTGAGTAATCACTGGCGTAAACTTTTGCTGATTTTTTTGCGCGAAAATATTAAATATGTAAGTAGCTATTTGACGCACTTAAATACTTGATCCCAAAGACCAAGTTGTAAGAGTGAAGAGGGGGACTACTCACTAGTTCTACACTTGTAAATTTTAGATAATTGTACAATGTACAATACACAATACAAATCAAACTAACTGACCTAAAGAGGAACAGAATCGAAATTTTCAAGGACAGCTTGTGAAGTAAAATTTTATCAAAATCCACAAGGTCTTTGATGTAATTATACGTTTTAAAATTTGTAATTTGAATTTAACATTGTCGTCGGTGCTCATAAGAAACTGGAAGACGGGAATTATGTTTTTGCACTATATTATTTCACTGAGAACTGAGAACCACTATGTCATCAGAGTGAAATAGTTAAACGGAACATATTATTTAATTCTCAGATCATATTATTATAATTAAATATGAAATAAAACTTCCAACACATTATAGGTACTCAGCACCAAAGTTAAATCTCATATTTTAGAAGAAATGATGGCCTGATAAAAAGGAAATAAAGAATAAAAATGAATTGATAATTTTTGGCATTCATCCAATTTTAACTGTTATTTTAATTATGGAATATGCATATAAAATAAGTATAAATAGTAATCAAATAATATGGTTCACAAGCTTTAGTCAGGTGTTAATCAAGTCATTTGTCTCGTGTTTTGGAGGGAAACCCGCAGATCAAATACTACATGATAAGAATTTTGTGAACACATTATATAAAACTTGTTCTTATTCTCGGGTCTTGAGAAATCTAAATTAAAAATCTCACGAGAATAAAAAAGCAGTCCAACACAATCCAAAACAATTCTCAACCCGTTGCCACTCAGTTATTCATCAAGTCGGTTGATAGTATTAGTGGGATGAGCAATCTTACTTATAATTACCAATTACTATAATTAAGTCTTAGTGATAAGTCTGCCGAGCTGTACACATGATGATCTGGCTTGAAAATAAGCCAAGCTTCTAACAGAGATCAATACCAGTTAGATTATTGTATCCAAGGAAATCACATTTGGGTCTATGAGAGTTTATGAATTCATTCAGCATAGAGCTTATTTTTATTCACTTTTCAGTCAATTTGAACTTTAACCTTGATATAATTAGTCGGTTTGTACTGAATTCCAGCGAGAGTGTCATCTGCATCTCGATTGAAGGGGTTTCTATAATGATAGATCTTCATAGAACAGCTTCTATTGATATTCTTCTTCTCTTTCCTCCATCTAGAGGTGATATGTCCAGCTGACACAAACCCTAGGTTGGACGGTAACCTCCTTTCCTTGCTTCCACATCTTCTTCTAACTCCTCCGCGAACTCTAAAGGATAAGATTGATTAGCTTACGCCTTACATGCATATTAATTTTGTCATAACATCTCTGGACATAAGTTTGGGGCATGTAACCAGGGCATGTTACTAGGGCATGTTACTAGGGCATGTTACTAGGACACGTAACTAAGGGGTGTAACCATGGTAACTAGAAGAAGTTCATACCTGAGCTCGAGGTGTTCCTGTTTTGCTGTTCGAACTTTCCTCTCAGCGATTTCATTGGCAAACAAGGACTCTTCAAACTCTGTCTACGCTTTTTGTACCTGGAAAATCGTAACTTTCATTGCTGTTCATGATATTTATTTGTTTATTACAGAAACTACACACAAAACACAAAAACAACAATGTAATTGTATGCGAATTAATGACAGGAACGCCAATGATTGCAGCATGTTTTAAAATATCTGAAGGTGATGAGCAAGGCTAAGATGAAAAACAGTTAAGATGCAAAATCACTCGACAAAATAACTAATTACACTTGATTTCCAAAGGATGAAAAATGATTCTAAATGAAATATGGAAACAAGCTGGTACAAAGAACCGTTGATCTAAGGATATCAAACACAAAATAACATCACAGGAATAAACTTCAAACCTACATCTCTCCTCAAACTGCACAAAAAGTATTGATAAAACAAAATATGTGCTAAAGCCGAACGTAACACTGATGTTAAAGTTTCCCCACTAAACACTCATGTTAAAGTTGCATCACATGACCACGACACACAATTGCCCCTCACTTGTCAGGATTGAGCAGACTATCATTTTGCTCAAAGTTGTCCTTAACCGTCCCGAATGATTTTACCCTCTGAATGTCCACGTCTGTCTTCTTGACTTTCTTCCCATCGGATGGGTTCCATGAAACTGGCCTGGAATCTCTATCACTCGACTCACTATGAACGGAAAATAGTGTTGGACATGTTCTCACTCTTATCGCATAGAAAACTCAAAATACTTATCTCACAAAAAAACTAGCTCAGAAGATCATAAACTTGCCTGAACAAGTCCAACTTATACCACAAACATAAAGAAAATGTGTATCCAAACTTAGCACTCTCCTCCCTTACTCCAGCCCAACAAACCTCTCTATCTCAGCTATTCTCGGGATGGCCGGATCTCTTATCTCCTCTTCACTCGTGAACCGCTCCAAATCAGGAGTCGCGTAGTCCTCGGCTCTGGACTCCCCGTCAGACTCGGAGTCCCAGCTGAGCCGTTTCAAGTCCTGTAACTCTCGACCACTGGTCGGTGTACTGTTACACGGTTAAGTTATGACTCGTTATTAAACGTTCGGAGTGCGAATACAGTTTTACTTGTGTTTCCATTTATGAATAACTCTTAACTGTACAGCGCAAGGAACAATTTAATGGTGACTAACGGATGTGAGTAAATTTCCCACAAGTAAATACCTGGAATCAGTGCTGTCAGGACGGTCTTCAGTCGTGAGTTCTGGCGCTGAAGGTTCCTTTATCCGGGAACGGTCCAGGAACGGATCATCATCAGAGGCAGTTGGACTAGTTGGAGACATGCTAGTTGGAGACATGCTAGCTGGAGACATGCTGCCCTCCTGCTGAGTTGCTTCCCCACTTTCAGGGACAACTCCCCGGGGAGGTTTGATGACGTCACAAGGAGTAGGGGGAGTTGTGTCTGGTGCTGCCTCTTTCTCAGACTCAGAGAACGTCATGAGTGGTGGAGATGTTGTCGGTGTCGATACTAGATCAAAGCTATCCTGAGAGGTATTAATAGTAGTTTTAAATTTATGGGAAAATAACTCTATTTAATTCTTTTGAGATATCAAGGAGAACAGTCTTGTAAACAATTTTACTGAAATAAACTGTGACAACAGATAAACCAACAATATGCCAAACAATTAGGATAAGAAATACTGGGAGCAGTGAGTTCTAACCTTGGAGTCCGGTTCACTACTTGATGGAGGAGGAGGTGGAGAGGTAGATGGAGGGAAGAGAGGGGAGTCCTCAGCTTTCTCCTTAGGACCCCCAGTCTTGGGGCTCCTCCTAAACCGACCGGTGGTGGTGCTAGTGTTGTGAAGGTTGGTGCTGTAGGTGGGAGCGGTGGTGGCTGGTGGTATGACTGTTCCCATGTTGCCGCGGTCCTTAAACTGGGATACGCTGTGGTTGCTGGGCGTGTTGCCGCGACTCCCTTTAATGCTGATGGAGGTGGTGGTTGTGCTGTTCAGCCGTTAGTTCTCACGAAACCAAGATAATTAATTTGAAAAGATTGTCGAGAGATTTGATGAAATCATTTTTAACTGCAGTAAATATTTAATGTTATCAGAACATGAATAAATCAGTGGTGAATAGTGCAAATCAGGTACTATAAATGTGCTGTAATAACCAACATAGAGCTAACATTAAATGTGCTGTAATAACCAACATAGAGCTAACATTAAATGTGCTGTAATAACCAACATAGAGCTAACATTAAATGTGCTGTAATAACCAACATAGAGCTAACATTAAATGTGCTGTAATAACCAACATAGAGCTAACAATGTGCTGTAATAACCAACATAGAGCTAACATTAAATGTGCTGTAATAACCAACATAGAGCTAACATTAAATGTGCTGTAATAACCAACATAGAGCTAACATTAAATGTGCTGTAATAACCAACATAGAGCTAACATTAAATGTGCTGTAATAACCAACATAGAGCTAACATTAAATGTGCTGTAATAACCAACATAGAGCTAATATTAAATGTGCTGCGAAGGTTCCCCGGGGTTGCTTCAGAAGACAGTTGTGTCAAATCTGAATTATCTAGAGATCGGAATCGAGGAGAGAATAAGAGAGTAATCAGGTAGCGGCGAATCTCACTCGAAATTGAAGCGGTCCTCAACAGCATATCCACTATCCGGACTGTCGATTGATCCTTGTCTCTTGAGAGTGACAGGGATGCCCATAATACTGCACACTGGGTTGTAGACACCGTCTTGTGGTTTCACTGGCTCGCTGATTATCGGCCTCTTGGAGACAGAGTGGCTGTGGCTGGTGGTGTCCTTTTTCAACCAGCTGGTAGTGGAACTGACGGGACACCAGGTTTAAGGAGGGGGAGTGCTTCACAAAGTTATAAACTGGAAACTTAGTATCACTCTTCACACACTCTGGCACTCACTCACATTTACACTCACTCACATTTACACTCACTCACATTTACACTCACTCACTCACCTAACATTTCGTTCCTAAACTAGGTGATAATCTCTACAGTGGAAATGTTAACATTATATTATACAGAAAAACTTACCTGAAACTCTTGAACCAAGCATTCCTGACATCTGGTTTAGAAGCACAGTGGAAGTAGAAAATCAGGATACCCTGAAAAATTAAAAATTAAATTAAGTTGTGAAGAATACAAATGTGCAATTTGTGCATATCAAATCGTATGTAACTGAAAGATATTAGAGCTCAGGTTAGACTAAGAATCATAAAAAGAGCTAACCTGGGAAATGTTTGCGATTGTGAATATATACTGGAAGACAAGACCGGAGGGACCATCGATAGTGAAGGCACCAGCAATCCACCCCAGTCCCATGAGGGCCATGAGACATAGCACGGCTCGCAGTTGGGTCAAACTGTCCATCTTCTTCTGGGAACCGGCCTGAAGTTGTTTTTGTCATTCGATAGTCAAGGAAACTCTCGATTTGTCGATCAGATTGTACTATGCAAGAATTCAGAAGGTTAGATACAATTTAGCTAATTTTAATAATTCATGTCGGCACAAATAACTCACATTCTTTCTCCAGAATATCTGCTTTATGACGAAAGCGAATATGACAGTGTTTGCTAGCAGCATCAAGATGACAGGTCCTACGAATGCCACTAGACTTGGCACGTACGTTAACCAGCAACTGAGCGGGAGCAAAGGTTAATGTCAAAATCTATATTTTAAAGCAATAAAACACAATATAATCATATTCTCATTTTGTTAAAAATAAAACCTTGACCAGTTTCTTTGTCCACAGATTAACAAATAAATCCATCGAGCACGTGACTTACTAGCGATCTCCGACGTAAGTTGGGTAGTCAGTAGTGAAGTTGATGGTAAGTGAAGCTGTGACCACCGCAGCCGGGAAACCTGGAATGAGTTGCTATTAGAGGCGTGCAATTATCACTATCGTTAACTTGAGTAAAATAAAAGTAAGTCATCAATGTTAAAATATGGTCCAAATTGTATAAATAACAGAACCGTTAAGTAAGAGCAGAAACACAAACAATAACATACTTAGAAAGATCTATATACTTGCAGTTTCATGCAAATTTTCTTTAGAGGAAAAAGAACTAAGCGACTTCGCGGCGTCAAAACATTAATTTCAAACAAGCGTTATACTATTACTAATTAGGGCTCTTATTTCAAGTATTTTTCGAGGAGTAACTTTTACGGGGGAGTCTCTTCCTGTTGCGGTCCAACTCTAGAAATCCGCCTCAGTGCGGAAAACAAAGATCGAAGAGTTTCTCGAGACTTTGGTGTGAGGCAAATAAAAACGATCGGATTCCAAACTGAGGATAATAATGGAAACATGGCAGTAACCGAATATGCAATCCAACCCTCCCTTTCAGTTGTTAATTCATCATTGCTTCCATGTAACATCATGAAAAATAGATATGAAATTGGGGTACCGAAAAACAACCCATAGATTAGACTGAACAAATTTGTTAGCAAAACTTTGACTGCACCTGCAGTTCGGCCTCTAGCTTGGATTTCCTCTGATTTCCTCATTTGAAAAAGTGTAACTGCGGTAATGACTGAAGCAAAAGTTGCCAATATTTCCACAATACCAAGAGGTATAAATGAGATGTGGAGAGAAATGATCCCCACTCTCTCCAAGGCTCCTTCTGATTCTCCGATTTCAAAACCGTAGGGGTTTACAGCTGTTGCAACAAATCTAGCCGGATAAAATTGTTTCTCACTTAAAGGAGACAAGCAAAGAAATGAAAACGCTGCCCCATTAGTTACAACTGCCAAAACCAAGATGAACAACACGCGGGATTTTCTGACATGATAAAACGGATATTTTATCTGGATGGTTCGGACGATCGTTAAGACCCCAGTTGTCATGAAAACAATACTGTTGAGCAGGCCAGCGGCAGTGGTTATACTTATAGCTAGAGATGTTGATGTTACTTCGGTATAACAGTTCTGAGGTTGTCTGGGAACTGATTCATTTTCAGTGCAGTTCATTTCCTCTAGATTGATAGTGGCTGCGTAATAGAGAGCAGTGATTGGCAGAAAGATGCAAATCGTAAAATCAGTGGCCGAAATGATACGGAAGAGTAAACCAGCTATGGAAGTTTTTTTCCTGTTGAAGAAGAAAACTGTCGGGTTGAGAATTGAAGAGACGATAAAGCTTAAAATGATGAGGGTTAGAATTAGGACGGTCATGGGGGTCGAGGTAGAGGGATCATTGAACAATATCATACTTTCTGTTTATTTTTTAATACACCTGTAAAGTCAAATAATAATAGTAACACTTAGAGCCTCTTATTGGTTGGCAGACTTCTAAGGATCTGAAATAAATACGATTTATCTTTGAAAAGCACGCCAGAAAGAGATTTATATGTTCGAACCGCCACAAAGCAGCAAGAATGAATGATTGAACGCCTAAGAAAAGTGGAAACGACCTAGGACAAGGACTTAATATGATTAAAAACTTAAAGCAACTTTACTAGTAGAGACTAGAGACAGATCCGTCTGAAAAAAATCGATTTACCGAAACAAGAGGCTTTCAGAGGATATTTTACGTTTTTGAGTTCCATTCGGTGTCCTTAATGGCTGTTATTAATATATAGCCTTATCAATTGAACTTAAAGACAACAGCCATTACTAGCCATCTAATTGATCATGACTCCTGAAAGTGAAATTCTAATGAGTGATAACCTTTCCACTAAAAAACTCCTAAAACTCAAAAATCTGCTGAGATTAACTGCACTTTAAACGAGAACACAAATTTTCTAAAAACTACTTTTCGCCACGTCTCATGCAATTTAATCACTTTGGACGGTTATTTTTTGAAATTTTTTGAATTCTCAAAAATGTTAAGTGAAACATTTTCGAAAAGTATACTTTAAAAAAACTAGCAATTTAAAAAACTAGCAATTAGCTAATTAGACAATTATCTGACAATCTGACGAGAAAATGTTCGTCACAAAGGTTTTTACATTGATAAAATGAACACCCTCAATCAATCTGCAACCTCCTACGATGTTCATAACTATAAATATTCGACTTACAAAGAAAGTGGTAAAAAGTGACCAAAAGTAGTAAAAAGTGGTAAAAGGTGGCCATAAGACACATGGAAAAGTTCGGAAAAGTTCGGAAAAGTTGGTCAGCCTTAAAGGACACCGAATGAAACTAAAAAACGTCAAAAATCCTCTAATATCTGAAAGATTCTTGTTTCGGTAAATCGATTTTTTTCAGATGGATCTGTCTGTACTATTCATAGTACTATTTATGTCAACAAAATATTAGCATAAAAAGATAATTATGCATCGGAAATAATTAACTTAACTGCACCGTGTTTGCGTACGAGCAGTAATTAGCCATACTATTATAGTCTTATGGCATATAATTATCTGAAAACTGTTAACCCTCTAGTTCCATGGCAAATTTTTACCGTATTTTTCACTGTATTAATACACTCAAACAAATATTTCCGATTTTTTTGGCTCTCTCTTTTCGATTCACTCAAATAATTGAGCTTAAAAAATTCGTGAATGGGCTCACGCATAAAAATTATTCTCTAGAAAAATACAGTCGCTGCGATGGTAATCGATATCATAATTACTCCAGTAGCAGGGAAAATCGATTTTTTTCAGATGGATCTGTCTGTACTATTTATAGTACTATTTATGTCAAAAATATATTAGAAAAATACAGTCGCTGCGGTGGTAATCGATATCATAATTACTCCAGTAGCAGGGAAAATCGAGTTGAGTGTGCACTTCGATGTACAGAGTTTTTTGCTGCTGAATCGGGTTAAATAGGTCATTGGTAACTCAAAAAATCGAGGGCCGCATATTGTGTCGCTAGTCCCAACCCTGTGGAGCCATGCCCATATTTCATATCAGGTGTGTATATGGGAAATATGTATCTCAGCTTCTGAAGGTCTTAGAGACTCAAACTTGAGTTTAAAATGACCGCAATGCACATGTACTATGAAGGTCATGAAAGCCCAAAATGCTTATTTTTGGAAAAAATTCAGAAAAACCAATTTTCACTTGGGCGCCAGTAAAAAATCTACACTAGAAATTGAGTAAAAATCGAGTAAGCAGTTCAGTGTCTACAACATTTCTAAACACAGGGTCCTCTGTTAGGTCATTCTAAATCAGAATTGATAAAGTAAGCAAATTCTATTAGTAGTTTCAACCCTGTGGAGCCACGCCCATATTTCATATTATGTGCGAATATGGGAAATTTGTATCTCAGCTTCTGAAGGTTTTAAAGACTCAAAGGTGGGCTTAAAATGACCGCAATGTACATGTTTATAATGGCACTATGAGGGTCATGAAGGCCCAAAATGCTTATTTTTTTCAGTGTCTGCAACGTTTCTAAACACAGGATCATTTGTAAGGTCATTCTAAACCAGGATTGATAAGGTACGCAAATTCTATTAGTAGTTTCAACCTTATAGGGTGCAAAATTCCTAAATTACATTACCCCTAGGCGCAAATATATGACTTTCCTACCCTCTAGTTCCATGGCCAATTAATAGAGTGAAAACAGTGAGCGTTCACATATGACGTCAGCAAGATTTTGGCCAATTACCCCCCCCCCCCCCCCCTCCAGCTCACCCCTGTCAGCAACTGTCAGAATTTGCCAGACCCCCCTCCCTTTGCCTTCTTAATACAATCAGGATCCTGCCAGCCAGCTATAAGTATAAGGGGGTATAGAAATGCTGACGGGGGGAAGGGGTGGAGGTAGGGAAAATTAATGTGTGACTGATTTAAACAGTTGTTCAACAGAGTTCAGTTCAAGTACTACTACCAAATGCGAAGTTGGCGAAGTTATATTGTTAATAAAATTGATTTGAAGCAACAACTTTTTGCCAACAAAATTAACGTTTTTTTTGCTGACGTCAGCAAGGCTCAGACCCCCCCCCCCCCCAGTCAGCAAGGCTCAGACCCCCCCCCCCCAGTCAGCAACCGTCAGCATTTCTCCCCCCTCGGCTGCTGACGTCATATGTGAACGCTCCCTAAGTAAGGTTCTCTAATATGTACAAATGTGTGCAACAAATTTTGAGTTCCTAGCTTAAAGCGTTCTCATTTTATGAAGACAATAGTGAAAAAGAGGGAGTGTCACGCCACGCCCACGGCCCACTGTAATTTGGCGGGGCTTCAGGCTTACGAAACTTTCAGGAAATCTAAGTTGACCCATATTTATAATCTCTGAAATTTTTGTGCAATTCGGAGACGAATTAAGTGAGTTATTAAAGCTGGAAGGGGATATTTAAAACATATAAGTGATACGAGAGATTTTATTAGCAGGAGCTTTCAAAATACTTGTGTAAATCGTCTTCAGCTGTTATTAAAGGGTTGCGTGTGGGTAGTTACTTTTGGGCCACCCTGTATATTTATAAGTATAACCATAGCGCATCGTTAAAGACATGAAAATATGAAAATTATAAAATCTATCCGCATCGCAGCTGCTATAGTTAATGTCACAGCAGACAATTTTATTTATTAAACTATTTATTTATTTAGACTAAGGATTAAACAAAAAGTTAGAGTTCCCTCGTGTTAAGATGCACCATTTAAGCATAAAAAGATAATTATAGCTTTTTAATTATAACTTAACTCGCCCGTGTTCGCTGCGTGGGCAGCAACTTATATTTAATACTTATAGTTATATAGAGTTATAGCTGTACCCCTGGCAACTTATTTAATAATCAGAAAACTTTTATCAACTTCTGAAAACTGGAAAAGGACCTAAAAACAGCCATATGATAATAAATACCCTTGCAGGTATCACCCGTATTTATACTCAGAATTTAGTTGGATCATTTTCCAATACGAGATTGGGGACAGGTATATTTAAAAAATAACTAAACCTATACCGCTAATTACGTGATATATAATGGGATACAGAAACTGGAAAAGGACCTAAAAAGTAAAAACATATAAGAACTAGGAAATTACACAGCTACTTGGAATAAAAACAGCTGCGATAGCCATTAGGCATAAAATATTCAGCTATAAAAGTTTCGAACTCTCCAGTTTTATTATAAATAAAAAGCATCTCGGAAAAATGTTTATTTTAAACGTTTTACTAACCGAAGGCGAAGAGGGCACACTTTTTGTAGAAGTGAGTCTGTCCCCCCGTGAAGACCTGGATGAAGGCAATGTAGAGGTTCACACCCTCTACCATCATCCACGATATGGCAGATAAGTAGAAGTAATGAATCAGAACCGCAAACATCGTACAGATTGCCTGTAGGGGTGGAGGATTGATAAATTAAGTTTTTGAGTTGTCTGAGAGAACGTACAAAAGATTATCCGGATTATAGACCAATATATTATCATATCGGTATTTTTTCGCAGAATAGAACTACATAATTTTAACAAACCGCGTTTTCAGTCCAGTTGTCGAGTCCCACAAGGAGGAAGATTAGTCCCATCATTAGAGTGAAACTCAGGGAGATGTGGATCTGGTTTGTTGGGGTCTTCCTTAGTGACCTGCGCAGGTTTAGTTCGTAAATTTCATTCAGGTTAAATTCAGGTTTGTCAACTTTTCCTTTTGTAGGTACATTTTAGTGTAATTATCAGATTTAGTTTCTACGCTTGATATAATGCAATGTTTCTAATGAAATAAATGGGGTAAAGACTATAAAAAAGTTTGAAGGTACTTGAACTTGGCGAGTCCGACAACAGTAAGGAAGAGACAGACGATGGAGACAACACCTCCCACTAGGGTAATGGTCTGTAGAGCTGTTATGTGCACTCCTATTATCTCCACGTTACCTACATTCTGAGGGGCAGGTAGGGAGGTTATTAAGGAGATTATTAATGAGATATTATATTAAGGAGTTATTCTGAGGGGCAGTTAGGGAGGTTGTTAAGGAGATTATTAATGAGATATTATATTAAGGAGTTATTCTGAGGGGTAGTTAGGGAGGTTGTTAAGGAGATTATTAATGAGATATTGTATTAAGGAGTTATTCTGAGGGGCAGTTAGGGAGGGTGTTAAGGAGATTATTAATGAGATATTATATTAAGGAGTTATTCTGAGGGGCAGTTAGGGAGGTTGTTAAGGAGATTATTAATGAGATATTATATTAAGGAGTTATTCTGAGGGGCAGTTAGGGAGGTTGTTAAGGAGATTATTAATGTGATATTATATTAAGGAGTTAGTGGTGGATCATATTAAGGAGATAATCCAAAGTTGGTAATCTGGTTTTTGTAACCAATTAAAGAGACTGTGGAGCTGGTGGTAGAAGGAAGTAATTATATGAGAGTTTAGTAACCATGTTAGTAACCATGGTAGTAACCATGGTAGTAACCCACAGTAACCCACAGTAACCCACCATGAGAACAGCGAAGTTGGTGAGGTGGTTTGCCTCACAGGTGACCCTGTTATTCTTCAAGTCCAGCTTAGTCTTCACTCCTTTGTTTGACCACCAGCTTGTAGAAACGTTCCAGTACACACAAGACGCCGTGGGGTTAAAACGCTGCGACTGAAAATTGTGCGATTATTAATGTACAATTGGAGATATAGTCCGTAATGGTTCAGACTACGTGAGTTTCAGTTCATAACTGCAAGCAGATGGATGATAAGAAATATATCAACCCACCTTTTACAAACAATAATCCCATCTACGATAATCACAGAACCATCCTGATAGAGTTTTAAAAATTTACCGAGGGCGGCGAGAACTGAATCCGGACATCATCTTTGAGATTTGTAATGTTGCCGTAGTTCTTACCGATACCAATACCGACAATAGTTCCTGAAACTTCGCACGATTCGTTACAAGCCAGCACCATTCCTGGCTCTGAAGTTTCCTGGAGAAATAAAATCTTCTATTAGTCTACTTTTTGGTCAAAAATTGGTATGATTGGACCTAAAATATACATTATTAATAATTATTCCTTAATACATGGATGTTCAGCTTTTATAAAAGTTCTGAAGAAAACTACATACTAACAGAACACCTGCAACACCACAATAACATAATCGAATTCTGAATAACAATCATTCATATGAGTTTCGGAACTTCAAAACAGAATATCACGTACATTACTGAGGAATAAAACAGAATACCACGTACATTACTGAGGAAGAGCCGGTCAGTCTTGAAGACGGAGAACCAGACCCTGTCTATCTCCTGCTGAGCGGAGGAGCGGATAGAGGCGGGAATGTAGATACCTATACCGGTGGTTTCCTGCAGCTATATGGTTAATGTGTGGGGTTAATGGTTGTCAGGCACAACAATTATATTGACAAATTGGTTATTCTTTTAATAATAACAGTCTTAAATCCTTAATATGTCCTTCTCTACAGCAGAAAGTTATAAAATATCCTACAAAAAACCGCAAACGAGCGACCAAAACAAATTCCTAAAAAAATTCCTAAACCCCCTCCTTACTATATCTTTCTTCTCAGTGTTTGTCATGACCAGCTCTGTAGTGTAGAGGTTGGAAGTGTCCGCTATGTTCAGGTTCACAAGCAGGGACGTTGTCAGGTCCACTTTGTCTACAAACAGGGCAATGTTTTCTCGGATTGTAGCGGAGCCGGGTTTACCCATCAGATCTACCATGTCCGCCGACTTGTCTATCATCTCCAAAATGCTGGAAACAGAGTGAGAGCGTTTGAAATTAGTGCTTTGGTAAGAGAAACTTAGGGCAAACTTACACAGTATCTGAAGAATATAAAACATAACGTTCAAAGGTAGCTCTTTTTGGCAAGATGAAACGATTTTAAACATTTTGAACAATGATATTCAGTTGGTCCTGCCTTTCAATTGTTCCATCTTTCAATTATTCAAAAATAATGAAAATAAAGAACACACAACCGTACCTTCTGACAATCTGATTCTTTGTTTGAGCAATCCACAACTCGTCAACCTTCACTTTAGATGCTATAGTCTCCACAGCGTCTATGATGTTGTCTTGAACTGCCAGGGTCACGTTTCCAGTAGCTAGTGCTCGATCTGAAACACCATAGGAATTTTAAAATTCCGTTAAGATTTGCATCCAGATAATACATGTTAGAAACATTCAACGATAAGCTGAAATCATAGAAATAAAATCTTTCAAATTCCATACTGTAATCAGAGAAAAATATTGATTAAGAACCTGTAAGATTGCGTATCATTTCGAGATGCAGAGCGCTGACGTCGTCAGCTCGTTCCAGAATGGTCTTCATGTCCGTTGTCACTTGTAACACGTTACCGGCCGTTACATCTCCCTGTAATGCAGTCTGTACTGACATATGGTTAGTGACGGCTATTTTAAATCTCTTTCCCTTATTCAGTAACCTGTTTTATTATTTTGTGTCGAACAGGAAATATCGTCCTAGCTCGCTTCTTTACTACATCAATGTTTGATCGATGTTAACAAAATGATAAATTATGATAAAAGCTTTGTTTGTTGGATTTTAGTTAAAAAGCTTCGTATCTCGTGCGACTTGCAGGAAGAAGCACAGCCGACTTTTAATTTTCAACATACAGATTGTGAAATTATATTATGGTAAACCAGACTTACTCACATAATTCCATATCAATTCACTCAAACGTACGGACGTACCACCTCACGGGCATGCACACTTACAGTTACACACGCACACACACATACACACGCACATACACACGCACACGCACACGCACACGCACACGCACACGCACACGCACACGCAACACATACACACCGATAGTAGGCTGTGAAGAAGCTGGGCACTCTCGCTGAGGAACGCACATTTCTCAATGTTAGTTACAAAGTCGCTCTCATAGTATCCCTCCCTCGAGCACTTCATCTTAACCACCAGCGGGTACCTGAACATTGCAGGCGTATAGCACACAATCAGTATTACTCACTGAACGTTACCATTTCAGTCTTCAATCTTCATTATTAGACTTCAATGAATAGAATATCGATAACGGAAAAATGTATTTTATGAAGCAAATATTGTGATGATATTGATAATTACAGGCTCACACAGCACACAATTACTACTCTCTGCAGAATACGACTATCTTAATACACTGATAACGGTCTAGCAGAAAGACAAGACCTGGTAAAGTTAAAATACTTAGCAAATAATGAGATGATAATTGGAGAATAATCAGCATAATATAATACAAAAAACTTACTCCCGCTGATTATAGTTGCCTGCAGGACAGAGAATGTCCACGGTGTAGTTTACCCGGTATGTTTGTCCCCATTTGAACACCCCTCTGAACTTGGTGTCCCTCACCCCAGGACCGCACTTCTCTGAGAGGGGTGTGGTAAGGATCATTGTCAATTACTTCTTTTACCACCACTACGTAAGAAGAGATACAATTCTAGTATTAATCTAAAGTTATCAAGAGCCTGATTTATACCTGTTTTCTCACAAGTGTCTAGCTGGCAGTTGACTCTTTTCTCCGGGCTTCCAGGACAGTAAAGCGACTTCAGAGTTTCAGACAGGTGCGAAGGAGCGAGACACTTCCTAGATGGATATATGGAGATTAGAGATTGTAACTTACCAGATAATAGTCTAGATTTACTTATCACAACCAATGCTTCCAGACGATATAATAGAAATTAACACAGACAGAAGCAGCGGATAAGGAAATATTACCTGGTGAAGATATGGTAGCTGTCACCGCAGGTTCCCTTGCACTCCTCCGCCTCCTCCCAATCATCCCAACCCCTCCTCTCAATAACGGTAGAGAACAGGTTACTAGTCCCCGGCTCATCCTCTGCCAGGAAACATTTCTCTGTGGTGCACCGCAAGACTAGACCGGTGGTATCCGTGAAGTAGAACTGGTCGCTGGGTTCTAGTGTCTCACCGGGTCGTTTGGACTCGGATTGTATGAGGAATGGAGTGAGGGTTGAGGAGGAGAGAGTACAGCTGCTCTTGTCACAGTTCATACCTGAACCTGGAAAAATCCTATTATTATCTAAAATATAGAGTTGGAGAGAGTATAGACATTCCGTTTTCACTTGAATTCGCCAAAAATTAAATTTCTAAATAAAAGGACCTATACTCACTTACTTTGTTTATAAACGGATAAGTGAAACAACAATTAATATAAACTCAAGGCTTACTTTCATCAGAGCTAAGAACCACAGTCATGTTGCCCCCAACAAAAGTCCTAGTACCGGATGTCTTCAGCTTTAGATCCACTGCTTCACATTCTGACCTATCACAAAGCTTGAAAACAGAGTCCTCGTAAACTACAGGTTTTCCGTTGATCTCTAGTTTTAGCTGTTCGTCTACACCAAATGATCCTACGAAAGATACCCCTGTTATGGTTTGTCGTGGTTTGTAAGTTTGAGTTACAATCTCAAAAACGTTAGTTGCCGAAAATGTTAGTTGCCAAATTAGTACTTTAGTATACATTTCCACCACCATGTGGACTGTGGAGCTATATTGTCAACCAAGCAATCTACAGCAGCCCTTCTCTTAGTGCTTACGACACATATTTAGAGATATTTAGAGTTATCAAGAGTTATTTAGAGACCCTCCTACTTACGACACATATTTAAAGTTATTTAGAGATATTTAAAGTTTTAATATCTTAACTTACGACACATATTTAAAGTTATTTAGATAAATTACACTAAACTGTGTATGATTCGCCTCCCCAAACAAATCTAAAGTTAGAGATATTTAGAGATCTTTAAAGATCCCTCCTACTTACGGCACATCTCGTTATCACTCATAGATCCCAGCTCAACAGTCTTACTCCCAAAGTTCAGTACATCACCCCAGCGTAACACTATCCTCTCGTCCTTTGTTAGCTTGGTTTTGCAGATAGCACTGGTACCTGACAGATACTGCATCTCTTCTTTTGAAAGCAACGCCTGAAAGATGAGATATTCAGAGATATTTACTGACACTATTCAGAGATATTTAGAGATATTTAGAGATATTTAGAGATATTTAGAGATATTTATAAATGTTTAGAGATATTTAGAGATATATAGGGATATTTAGAAATATCCAGGGATATTTAGAGATATTTAGAGATATATAGGGATATTTAGAGATATCCAGGGATATTTAGAGATATTTAGAGATATTTAGAGATATTCAGAGATATTTATAAATGTTTAGAGTAATTTAACTTTTTCTATATTTAGGTATTTTGTAGCTTCAATAAAATATGAACCATCAATGATTAAACTTTAAATCCCACGTGTTATCTTTCTACAGTACAAGTACCCGATCCTATTATTATAGCTATATTATCGATACAAATTCCAATAAAGGGGCATTTACCTGCCACATATTGAAGTTGGAAATACTTCCCTCGAAATATTGGAACTTGTCCAACTTTCTGAGAGTTGATTTCTCCTGGAAATCTTGCTCCGCTCCAAGAATCATACTACCATAACTTCCTATCCCAGCTGTAATACATTACAGATTAAATTAATTGTCCATTATACATTATAATCATAAACATATTACAGCGAATAATAAGCGAGGAGAATATTTTCATGTTTTGTTTTTCTTATGTATCTGTAAGGAAAAATAGCTGAGCAAGCAACAATTGTGAATAAAGCGTAATAAATATTCACGAACCAGGGTCGATTGTTCGCTTAATTGACCAGTCTTTTTCGTCTATGAAGATGGTTAGTTGTCCCTCCTCATCTGAGTACCTGAAACACACTGTGTGCCAGATACCGTCCGTCAGATCTGAGATTGGATTTCATTAATCAAAAAAGCGACTCAATCAATAATAGTTGAAAATAATTTATTTACTACTATGAAAACAATATACACATAATATAATAATAACCCTATATACAAATCACAGTGCTGGCAAGCACGACCGTTGCATTTATTGTGGGTATACTATGTACCCATTTATTATTATACCCCCTTTACTATAATTATACCCCCTTTGGTACACGTTACAAGCTTCTTTCGTGCACGCGAAGCGTGCACTCCGGCCGGAGGCGGCGGCCGAAGGCCGCCGCCTCCGGCAGGAGTTTTTCAGGCATTAAGAAGTCGTTCAGCAGATTTATTTTTAGTTCAAAACATTCTAATTTGATGTCAAAGATGACAGGAATAAAAAATAGTTATGTTGAGATTTTTAAGAAATTTGCATAAAATACTCGCCAGCACTGTTATCTTATACGAAATTCGGTAAAAAACCCAACATCGCCATATTCAGGTGCCTTAAAAACCATATTAAAATTGAGTTAGAGATCTGAAATTTTTCAGAGCGTCTAGACGTTGACCAAATCGACTGCAAAAAAGGTTTCAGGCTTCAGGAGCATCGGGAAGTGGGTTTTCTAGAACCCCTGTTTTACGACAGATTATCGTGATACATATTCAGGGATAGACGCTTTGACAGTCAAATATAGTCAATTGTATCCTAAATTTAGGTGTCCATAGATTCAAAAGTATAAAAGATACAGCCATCTCCGACCACAGGTCTTTAAAATAATTGTTTACACTTTAGTTTACATTGTATAAAAAAAATTATTTGACGTCATAAACACCCCTTGATGACGTCATCAAGTTAACCGTTTTTAAAACTTGATTTTCGACAAAGTAATAACTTCTAAAATTGATTTAACACTATTTAAAAGTAATTTTTTTCAACATCTGAGGAAATTTTCATCTTAGATAATTGTTCAAGCATTCTGAAAATCTACCGGAAAGTTTTCTTATCTTACTCCTTCATAAAGATATTTGCCTTTGAAATTAGTGCTTTTTTGAAAAATTATTTTTTTAAAACGTCAATTTTGCGATTTAGTATTCTCTGGTGTTGGGCTATCCCTTGGGTTGTGGAGCTCAGTTCTGCTTCCTATAGGTATAAATTGTGCATTAGGCTAGTTTTAAAGTTGAAAATCAAAAAGTTGCACACGTGGGGACACGCCCAAATTGATTAAAAATTGCTAAAATCACTGAAAATTGGTGTTTTCACGATTTTTATCAACTTTGGAGTCCCGTTGTGATCCAAGTTCTATTTGAAATCTTTTGAAACTTTGCACGCTTATCAAACTATATATAAAATACCGCTATGCAAAAATTTACGGCGATTCAGTATTGGATGCGCACGTAACGTCCGCTCAAAGTTTGCACGTGCGAACGGTGAGAATTATGCTCATTCGTGATTTCGAACAAATTCTGCTTTACCACGACAGTTCAATGTCATTATAAATGAAGTTAATGGCAACTTGAATGATTATAATGTTTTATGTTCAGTCAGTGATAGACCGATATGCTTACTTAAACACAAGGAAATGTTTTTAAAGTAAAAATTTCGAAATCGTTGAAACTTCCTCCTTATTAATGAAGACATCAGTTTATATTTCGATTTTATAAAGTATCCTGATATGACATTATAATCAAAAAGAGATGATATTTTACCAAAACCCATAATCATGGGTAGAGTGGACCGCTGCCAGTGTCTCTCTTTCCCAAACAAAAGGAAGTGATATTAATTTGATTGACCGTTCTCAAATGCAAAATGATACCGAGAATGAAATCGGTCGCTCGCTTTTTCCATTAATTTACAATTGTAATAGATTATTCTACTCTACAACTGCAACTCCTGGGCTGCACCACTAGCTTCGTTGAATGAACTTGATATTGCTCATCGCAAACACCTCCGAAGAATCCTCAACATCAGATGGCCTACTGGGGTTATTTCTAATGAGGCACTCTATGCTCGTTGTTATGTCACTCCCTTGTCTGTGAGAGTCTCTAAGTTTCGATGGAGAATGTTAGGACATATCTTAAGAGGACAGGAAGACTCACCAGCATACACCTCTATGTTATTTGCTATAAATTCTGATATTTTTATGGAAGGGAGACGGGGTAGACCATGTTTAAACTTATTAGATGTTATTAGAAAAGACTTGACTAGTAGAAATCTTGATATTAGACTTAAGAATTTGACTGATTTCGAAGACCTTAGATTTTTAGCTTTAGATAGGGAGGAGTGGAAGAAGTTAGAAGATGGTTGATGTTTTTGTTTTCTTTTTTATGCGTTTTGATATCTATAAGGTGCCTAGGATGCTCTTTTAAAGAGATATTTCGTACTTTGAAAGATTTACTACTACTACTAATAGATTAAGAAGAACTACCCGAAGGCAGCTGTACTCAGCAATAAAGATTCAATAAACTTCAGCTAATTTACTAACTACCAGTACCACCCTTATCCCGAAATACTAGGTATATCGACCCGAACGCAACCCAAAGGAATTTGTACAGCATGTGATTGATTGTAAGCCGTGAATGAATACTAACTACCAGTACCACCCTTATCCCGAAATACTAGGTATATCGACCCGAACGCAACCCAAAGGAATTTTTACAGCATGTGATTGATTGTAAGCCGTGAATGAATGGGAAAAGCGAGCGACCGATTTCATTCTCGGTATCATTTTGCATTTGAGAACGGTCAATCAAATTAATATCATTTCCTTTTGTTTGGGAAAGAGAGACACTGGCAGCGGTCCACTCTACCCATGATTATGGGTTTTGGTAAAATTCTATATAAAAATTCAATAAAAATCTTAGAAAATATCATAAAAACCCTTTGTTGTAGTAGTAAAAGTAGCCAATTCAATTTTTTGGCTCTAAATTAATATCTAAATCTGATATCTTAACTATATGAATGGTTGCAGGTTAGCAACATTTTTCATTTTTTGAGAGGTTGTTATTTCGTTACATGGAGATTAAATCCCGAATTACTATAAACCTGTTTTGACGAAGTAAGGAACGTTGTGGACCATGATGACTAAAGCCTGGTTAGTGACCATGACCAACATCTCGTTATCGTTGTTATCAGTAGCGTACGATATTATCGTTCCTGACAGATTACAGAATTATCAGTAACTATGGTTACTAGGATGTCAGTCAAGATTTTGTTGTTCTGTTCGAAAACCTAAATTGGAATTGAGACATTCCATGAAACATATATTTACCGTTTGCTTTGGCTGATTTGAAGGAAGCGCAAGTAGTGGTGTCCAGCACCGTGATCCCAGATATAGGGTCTGTTATCCGCACCAGGGGCTCCCCTGTGTTTCCAAACTCCATAGAAGTGGTGTGATTGTACGCTGAAAAACAGGAGTTACATTAACAACGTGTAATAGCCATCGATGGTATTCAAAGAATACATTTACTTCGCGGGCAGAATATTTCAAATTCAATACTGTTACTTGAAATAAATTATTTTGTAAAGCTATACTTATTGGTAGATGTCTATTATATAAATCTCAATCAAAGTGAGTCTCAATCTTACTGACCGGTCTCAACCATGCAGACGAAAGGCAGTGTCTCAGTCTTGTCTCTCAACTCCCACAACCCGGATCTGTCTACTGAAAGCTTGTCTCCGCTAACATACCTCGGCTCCTGGAAAAAGAGCTAAATAGCTGGTGTGAATAAGGGCGGTATTTGTAAAATAACATATTTAACATATTCGTGTATATTTGGCATATTCGTGTATATTTGGCATATTCGTGTATATTCGTTTATATTTTACATATTCGTGTATATTCGTGTTACATATTTAACATATTCGTGTATATTTGGCATATTCGTGTATATTTAACATATTCGTGTATATTCGTTTATATTTTACATATTCGTGTATATTCGTGTATATTCGTGTATATTCGAGTATATTGCTAGAATGCGTCATTTGAACAGGAAAACTTGGTCCTCGTCTATTTCAATTGAGTATCAGTAAAGAATTTTAAGAATTTTAAACACCAATCAAATCACACAGTTTCTTATCGAGGGAATATTGGGAAGATCCCGAGATTAACCTTGTATTGTAAACACAAGTAAAGATAAACGAGTAAAGATAAGTCAGTTAAGATAAGTAAGTAAAGATAAACGAGTAAAGATAAGTCAGTAAAGATAAGTCAGTTAAGATAAGTAAAGATAATCACCTGGTTAAGATCAGAGAAAATGTCACCGTTATCCCATGTCAGATACCCAGCCTTCTTGCCACCTCCAACCCAGGCAGCACCACTGCAGGCAGCAATTATTAGGGGGGTTATGTCACATGTTAAACACAAATCAACAAATTGAGAAGTCTGGTGTATTGCTTCTCTTGGAGACCATTCTTGGTAAAAGGCTTGATTCTTGCAGAGAACGTCAGAAATTCCACTTCTACATCTTAAATTCCTTAATCATGCACGGCGCACGCCCGAAATTTGATTCGTAGAAGCTCAATATTCAATAGTACGTGAGGTTTAAGGACAATAACTATTAACAGAAAATTAGTTCATCAGGTATTTTAATTTGCAAGTTGTTTAATTCAGTTACAGGGCATCTCATTCTACTGCAAATAGATTTATAATATTTCAAGTTGTTTCATTCTATAATTAACTGTTTAATCTTTTGTCTTTTTCTTTGATAGTAATTTCAATGGTTTCAAGTCCTTTTGAAGTTCCATCTAAAAGCTTCTTCCATGTAACAGATGTTACAAGTGACATTGCCTATTTTAGAATGATATAACAGTTACCTGTTACATGATATAACATGGTAAAGGCGTGCCAATGGAACTTTGAAGACATGAAAAACCCGCCTTTGTTTATTGATAAATATTAAATATCCAGTTAACTTTGAAGTTTGAAAGTTAACCTGTCAGCAATTACCGGATAAAGCAGTGCAGTGGCCCGAACTAATCCAACAAATTATATACTGAACACTTGTCTTCGCTTTAAGCTGGCTGTGGTCAGGTAGTGGAAAAGAATAATTAAACTAATAAAAAATGTCAGAGAAAAGCTTTTGTACGACGTTGATATTTAACTACAGCTTTTACATAATTAATTTTATTTCTCCGTTGTCAAATTTTAAAACTGAGCATTATAGCTCCTCTTCACAGAATCCACTCCAGATATCTGTAGACTGTTTTTTTTTTCGAAGAAAGTCTAATCCGACTCTTAATTAAATCTCTGGTTCGTGGTTTGAAGGGTTGTGCGATTGTTTGCATGCCGCGCCTTTGTCATACCATCTATATTAATCACTGTCGGTCAACTAAAACGATGTCTTAATTATAATGGGAAGAAATCATGTATATTTATAGATTATAAAATTAAAAGATATAATGAACGTTCGTCACAGCAACTCTTTAGGCTGAAGCAAAGCACTGCAGCTTATATCTTGCAGACTACTTTACCTCGGTATCTTTACCATTTCTCTGCCACTAACCTTGGTTCAAACTGCTGACTAGTGATCAGTTTCTGTAGGATCTCAAACTGAGGTTTAGTTGTAATGGTAGCCATCTCACCGTCAATCCCCGTACACGTGTCATGTGCTTCGTCATAGGTAGCGGGTGTGTCGAAGTAACGGTACACGCTGGCTGATAGGGGAGACGAGAATTACAACTTACATAACATTCTTCTATATTGCATAATACATAATATATAAGTTATATTATGTTATTTTATTCGTTGTGATTTTAACACGTTAGCACAGGAGACTTACAAGTTCACATAGTACGTGATGTTGCGGAAATGTTAAATTGCTCACATATTTTGCGGTGCCGTTAACTAATATAGTTCTGGGTCTTGCTTATCATATTTTCCAAGTATTCACAAGTTTTCCCAAAGTTATTAATCAATAATCCGGCATCAAATTTGACACATGGTACATTAACATACCATCATGTTAGAAACTATTACTGTGGTTAGTACTAGTTGTGGTTGATTCCGTTTCCAATTAGAATTAATCAGGAATACGGGCCGATTTTTCTTCAAACTTTTAGACATGCCTAACGCAGGAAAATGTCAGACGGGTAATTCAATTTAAATTTAATCGAAATAATTTGAGCGCATACTAAAATTGAACTTTCCATCTTTTTCTGGACACGCCTTCGTAGTTTTACGTGAAAATAACTCAATATTCTGACGGTTAACAGCGCATGGCACCTTATCCTAATCATTCGACAATTAGTACTTTAAAAACCACCAAATATAGAATTAGTTCAAACTGCGTCCTCGTGGCAGCAATAAAAGTGCCCGAATAAAAGTGTATATATACTCAAGCCTTTCCATAACTCTCAAATTCTTCCTTCTTTGCAGACCAACATTTTTCCTCTGAATACGATCTAGATGTTGAGTTACGGGGACTGGCATGCTACCGTACGGTGTACATAGAACAAAATTTACTTTTTACACTTTTCTGGTTTTGAACTGAATGAAACACAACTCCCTGCATAGTTTTGATCGGATGCATGAGCCGCCACTGCAACACCCCAACCCCTCCTGAAACTTGAGAACATGATGACACTTGAGCGCTCTTTGAGACTCTCTCCCTCAAGTGCACACTAATTGGACCTGAGAACAACGTGACATTTTATTTAGATATTTTGAATATTTGAAGAGAGGTTAACGCGCACTTCAGCATCACCCCGCCTATAACAACCCCTCACTTATTTGCTTTTCCTGAAACCACTACACCAGTCTCTCCAACCTTGATTAGAGACGAGCTCGCTCTCTCACCACCGCACTATTATGTTATTTTCCTTACATTATATGCACACACGAGCACGTCAATATTAGTTATATGTTTATTGGGTTGTTTCATGTTTTGTCCGGGGTAGGATTACCAGATCTCGTTAGACGCAGAAGCCGGGAGAATGTTACTCGTAATATAACGTTAACTCATCGCCTTGTCATCCACGGTAAATTGGGGGGTTACAGATTAACTCCCAAATATTATACCGGTGAAAGTTCAGCAATCTCTCTCTCTCTCCAGCCCACATTTTTCGCATTCTCCAACGTTTTCGGAACTACGTTATCAGTGCAGTTATCATATTCTCGGTGCAGTAGCAAAGAGTCCGTGCTGCTTTCCAGCAGCAGTCCTCTCTGCACTATATAACATTCCGCTGTAATCAGATTTTTGTCGTTTTCAGCCAGCTAGCTCCACTTTTAACTGGCCAGCTCACTTTGTCCATTTTATCCTTATTATTGTGAGTTAATCGAGTATCTCTCTTATTAGCTATGGCAAAGTTGGTCTACATTGGATTCCCCTCCCCGCTCACCAAGGTAATGATGATAGACGTTTTTTACGTTCTCAGTGCTTTTTACTGTAGCCTTTGGCGATGATAATGGTCCACTGCCACATGTTAAACAGAGATCTAGGCTTTGAAGCTCTCAAGTCTCCATTTCATCAACCTGACACTGAGACAAATCCCTAACAGATCTCCCACTCAGGCTTCGTGCATCTCTCTGGACACGAACGAAGAGGTTGAGGTAACGCAGGTGTCCCGTGGTATTTGCCAGGATATCAGTGTTATTCCTGAGAAGAAGGGTAAATATAAGATCGAGCTTGAGTTTGACTATGACCCCGGTGTTCTCTCCAACATCAGCAACATCAAGATCAGCGGTTCCAACAAGGTATTCTACGTTTAGGAAACTAACAAACGTACCAAACAGACCCAAAATGTTCTATTTATCGTGCTGGGATTAGACAAATTTTCTGACCATTCACTCGGATAACACTGCCCCTATATGCCTAGTCATTATTCCAACCAAACTTACAGTTTCCACAAAAAGTAACCACTTCAGGCTCAAGAAGCTACAACGACAACTACACAAGATGTCAACTCCTTTGCTCTGAACATCCCTGGTCTTGATGTTAAACCCAATGATGATGGCAGCATGAGTTTCCTGTAAGTAGGGCGGTAATGCTTTGCCTCAGACATTGACCGTCTATCTGCTAGCTTGTAACTTCTTTTTAAAACATCTTTTAAAAAGGGGGTACTTCTGCTATACATAGGTGTATTGGAATATTAAAAATATACGGATATAGACTATAGATAGGGTAACACATTGAATATGAAGTCAATTTTAAATTAATCTGATCGACCTTAATAGGCTGAAGGGAGAGGACGGAAGTACGACTGAAGTGAACGCTGATATCCCCGGAATGAACGTTGTAAAGAACGAGGATGGAACCGTCATGTTCTCGTGAGTGTTAAAACTTCAAGAATGTTCTATGATATTGATAATAAGTATTTGACACACCCACTGACTATGGTTTCGCGTGCGGAGCTTCATCAGTCCTGAACAAACCGTCACTACATTCAGAATAGTAAATTCATGTGTAATCTAGCCCATCAATATGAGTCCACATACCAATGACCAGTCATGTGACCAGTCATGTGACCAGTCATGTGACCAGTCATGTGACCAGTCATGTGACCAGTCATGTGACCAGTCATGTGACCAGTCATGTGACCAGTCATGTGACCAGTCATGTGACCAGTAATGTGACCAGTCATGTGACCAGTCATGTGACCAGTCATGTGACCAGTCATGTGACCAGTCATGTGACCAGTCATGTGACCAGTCATGTGACCAGTCATGTGACCAGTCATGTGACCAGTCATGTGACCAGTCATGTGACCAGTCATGTGACCAGTCATCACCAGCAGAACATATTAACCCAGTCTTCACCCCTGAACAAACCGTCACTACATTCAGAATAGTAAATTCATGTGTAATCTAGCCCATCAATATGAGTCCACATACCAATGACCAGTCATGTGACCAGTCATGTGACCAGTCATGTGACCAGTCATGTGACCAGTCATGTGACCAGTCATGTGACCAGTCATGTGACCAGTCATGTGACCAGTCATGTGACCAGTCATGTGACCAGTCATGTGACCAGTAATGTGACCAGTCATGTGACCAGTCATGTGACCAGTCATGTGACCAGTCATGTGACCAGTCATGTGACCAGTCATGTGACCAGTCATGTGACCAGTCATCACCAGCAGAACATATTAACCCAGTCTTCACCCACCTCTCACAGGATGCCCGACGAGGAGCAAGCAGAAAGTGAAACCACCACCACCAATAAGGAGGAGCCAAACTACAGCTCCCGAACCACCAGAACTACCACCACTATCGTGAGTTATTATGCTGTTAATTTGGGTTAATTATCCTGATAATTAAAGCATTTGATTGGTCAAGACTAATGTGTGAAACCTTTGTCAATCCTCTGACAGCTCAAGACCAAGACCTAGAAATTTTGTCTTATAACATATTTTATTTATACTGAATTAAATTCCAATAGCTGGTGCCTTCTAGCCGCCACAAGATAGCTTCCATATCTTGACTTATCATCAGCTTGACAGATTTGACCTATTAAAGACCTTTAAATCACAGTGACCAATTGTAACATTCCCTAGCAGTGGGAATATAAGGAGTGTCCCACCTAAACCTCCGTCCACCAGGCTTCAGAATCAGACTAATTAACAGTTTCTTGTTGACTTATCTGTGTTCACAACCCAGGCAGCATGGTACCACCAAGCACTAACAATCTAAAAACTAGGCATAATTAACAGCTCGTTAGGAAAAGGAAAAACAGTTTAACAGCCAGGAACAAATTCCTCAAATCAAACAACAAATCGATAACACATTCTTAATCTTAGACGAAGAGTTCAGTGCCAGCTGCTACCCAACAAACAATAGTGTCCGGCCAGTTCAGTCTGCCCCGAGCTCAGCAAAACATCAACATCAAGCTGCCCTGCCCCAAACACCATCAGGAGAACCTGAAGACAGCTTGTACTGGCCCGGACGGGAGCAGTGTCCCCACCAACGTGAGAAAACTATCATCTTTTAGATATAATAGCTGACATGAAAGACTTTCTTTTTCTTATCCGAATTTTTATTTAGACGAGTTCTAGCTCAAACAATCTTATTCAAAACCAACTAACCATATTTCCCCTTTCCAGTGCACGATAGTTGATGACGATACGATCAACCTGGGATTCTCACCCAGCCAGGGAAATGGAACTTACTCTCTTAACCTGCTCATAGCAGACAAGGTCTTCCCAGGGTGTCCCATACAACTTGAGGTTAAAGGCCTATAGAAGAACAATAGAAGATAGAATGATCCCCAATTTCAAACCAGTTGGATTTGAAGGAGCGTTTTGACTTTTGAGGACTATAGTTTGAAAATATATGTTTGAGTTCATAATATTAGCGTTTTTTTCCCTATTTTTGTTGAAAATTTGATAAATATTTTAAAGGTATAATTGTATAGACTAACACACTTTTGTACAAACTTAAGTAATCGATTGTGTAAATATTTAAATAATATTTGTTAGTGTACTAAGACACAACAGAATGGGTTTGTCTAACTTTACGATTTTTACTACATCACCAGAAATTAATAATCTAATTAGTATTTAATAATCTAATTAGTAATTAATAATCTAATTAGTAATTAATAATCTAATTAGTAATTAATAATCTAATTAGTAATTACCCACGCAGACTTAGGGCGTTACAAAGTCCAATAATCTATTAACACATTTAATGTGCTGATCACTTGCTAATTAAATCTTAGCTAAAATCAATAAAACTTCTTACTTCTGGTTCTCTGACAGAGAACAGCACGTGCGGAACTCTCCTTCTCCGCTTTTAGCCAGGTACCAAGCTTGGTCAGCAGACCAGGTCCTGAAGAAGATTCAGTAATAAAAACCTCAGAATTAGTTATTTTACTTGTCATAAGTCAAAAGCTTAATAATGAATAATGTTTAAAGTTAGAAAAATGTTAGGTGCTAATGCTAGTTAGTTAGGTCGTCAATAATTCATAACGGAACTCGGAAGAAGTTAGATACGACGCCCTTTAATTTGTTTCGATGACAACTGGGCGAAACCTAAGTCTAGATAACAGGAATGTGGAAGCCAAAGATACGTAAGACCGGACAGGTGATAACTTTGCACTGATCCAGAAGTATCCAGTATCTTTTAATCGCTAAACCAAAGATGCGACCACACAAGAGATTTTAAGTGTCAAGCAAAAGCAGCGAGCTGTTACAGTTTTTATTTGCAAAGAAAAGAAAAAGGTCAAAACTCACCTTCCCCATTAGGGCTACTGGACCAAGCCTTGTCGTAATCGTAATACACAAGGATGTTCTTGGCATACTCCTTCATGTAGGGTGTACTGAGTAGAGCCAGACTACCACCCAACTTCAGACAGGCTTCTTCAGCTAAGTCGGAAGTTAGGGAGTCCTCTATCAGAACCAGTTGTCCATCTGAAAGACAGGATGTTGTAGAACATCCATTTTCTATACTCAGTGACATCAGAATATCTAACTTTGTAAGTTGATATGAATCTTGTAATCGGTTTAACTATATTCTGTTCTCAACCATAACTCTGTTCTCAGTCATTGTCTTCTACATTAAAACTCACCAAGAAGAGGACAGCCGGTTTCATCGCTGCCGTCCAGACAGTTATCAGGGATACGATCACACCTCTCAATAAGAGGGATACAGTCTCCGGAACCGCACTCCCACATGTCCGGGGGACAGGATCCAGACGGAACCGGGCCTGAGAGTAGTATTACATTATTATTATGTTTATCATCAATACATATATGACAAACAATAATTTGATAGTTTTAGTTTCATGATTATGGGGAGGGTTATTATAATTATATATATATATAGAAATATGAGGAATTAAATAATATAATTCATTTTACAATTCACAAGTTCACGCCATCCCATATCACTATCACAAAACGAGTTAATTGTGTTAAGCAATGAGTGAGAAATTGATAAAGATAAAAGAAATTTATTTGCATCAATTTTGAATTGTGAGCCAATATTATTTTGTTTCGTGATTAATTTTAATATCACTATCTCGAAGATTACTTTTATCTGATAAATATATATTCCATACCTGAACAAGACCCGGAATATGTCTGGTCGAGAAGGAGGTCCGGGACAGTGTGGTTCATGATGGTGGACCAGGCAACTATGATGTCATCAGGTTGGGGAATCAAACAACCCTTACTGTACTCTTCCACCTGATCAAGAGTCGCGTGATGTCGTAATAAGCTATACCGCTTGGATTACAAAGAGATCCGATTGTTCAAGTCCAAATACGCGTAGCGTAAAATCGTAAAACTCTCAAAAATGAAAATAGCCAATAAACATAAAAGACGGAACTAAAAGAACACATTAAAACAATGTTTAACATTAAAACAATGTATAAGTCAATCTGTCAACCTGCTCTGGAGACAGGGGTTTGTTCCAGACGGACAAGTCCTTGATAAGACCCTCCGCAAGGTACGGAGGATGTGACTCATGGGGCATACCACCGATAACCATATCTCCTGATATCTCCAAACCTGATAACACGTTCATTTTGTCACTACTGATTAGTAGTACGGAAAGAAGTAAAATTCATCCCATCAAATGATAAACATGGCCGTTTGAATTGTCAATTGTCATATCATATGAGTCAATATCAAATTAATCTATTGACGTGGGTGATGGTATGAGCGACTTGAAAGGGAAGAATATTTCCTCAAGAAACTCACCCTGAACAGAAGATATATCCTGGTTCTGGCCGTGCAACAAGGGAGCACCATCCAGGTACAGATCTAGGAACTCTCTGTCCACACTTAGACACATGCTGAACCACTTTCTGTCCAGAGCGTAAGGGAACCGTACCTCCTTGTACACCATTTTGTTGAGCTGCACGTACAGTGCGTCACTGAAACACAATTAGTTAAGAGAATCTTTTACATCGAATTAAATGAGATTCAATTTTTATTGAGTTATATAATGGCGGTTTAAAAAAGTTTCATAAGCTATCGAGTTGTTTATTCAATTAAAAAGACACTTTATCGCGCCACGATACGATAAACTATAAAGCCTAATAATTGAGCTTATTAATTCTTTCTGGCTCTGTGAATACCATAAGAACCTAGCTATAAGGTACGTGGGTCGATAATCTATAACTGATAAGTAATCAATTATGATATTATATATTATATCATGAATTAGGATATCGATTATTTTATTCTATGTATATTAAAAGTTGCGAAGAAATCGCTGGATCTTATTTGATGACAGTAATAACTTTTTAATAAGCAGATTTTATAGGTTATGTTCTAGTATATTTTGAAGTGGTGCCTTTAAGTATTATAATAAGCACTGGCAATAAATTCACCATTAAGAATGGATCCTATGATTGATATTTGGATGATATTAGAAATTAATAATAAGTTAACCAGAATCTTCGATAATGAGACTATTTAATCATTTACAAACATCTCCCTTTGGACCAGTTATAGCTTTAAGATTCTTGAGAGCATTTATTATCGATGAGATAAGGCCGAATCCATCAATATTTTCTTTGTCGACCATCATCTCAACAGTTCTCTTGACGATACATCATTCAATCATCGATAGGATGTTGCGACAATCTCTACTTATGTTAGCGATGCAGGCTGTGTCCATGTTTCATGGCTATGAAGTCGGCCTACTCCTAAACGCTGCCAGTCCGGAAACATCAGCTGCCATCAGGAGACTCTCCGCTTTCACTGTGACACAGCTAGACCAATCCAGCACTACTGTTCATCTCCAGGAAGTGTCTTATGAACCAACTTATCTCAGTATTATGCAGAGTATCTGCTCACTGCTGGAACGAAACGTTGTAGCAATACTTTCTGCGTCAGGTTCCACTTTGACAAAGGTACAAGTTAACATAGCTAGCCAGTTTAACATCCCTATTATTTCTGGTACAGCTACGAATCCATTTCTGGAATCTGCAGGCAGTGGAAAAGTTGATATAGTTCGACTTTCACCCTCAGATATCTATCAAAGTCAAGCTGTATTTGACTTGCTGAAGACGTACAAATGGCACCAGTTTTCAATCCTTGCCTCGGCCGATGACTACGGTATTGACGGGGTAGTACAATTGCAGCATCTAGCTTCGCAGAGTGGCAAATTCAAAACGAATACCGTTCAGTATTTTAATGCTGCACTTGACGTAGCCGACATTAACGTGGATATGTTCACTAAAGAACTTACGCTGATCAAAGACTCACTGGAAAAAGTTATCGTTCTAAACTGTGGTACCAGATTCGCAGATACCATCGTCAGGTTTAGTAAATTATAATTGGATTGTCCCAATTTTGACCATTATCCTGCCAATCTCGTAAAGTCGTAAAGTCATTACATAACGTAATTTGCTAAGTAGGAATTATGTTCTATCCTCAAATCTGACAAGTAATTTGTAAATTAACTTACAAATATTTCAGGGAGGCACATAAAATGGGGTTGATGGAGGAGGGATTTGTTTGGATCGCCACGGACGGTGTTGCAGCCCAGCTTGAGGTAACAACTAACGAGGATGGTATGTATAGTGGGTACCTAGCGACATTGCCCAATTATGGTAAAGATTCGGAGAGCTACAATGATACCAAAGCTGCTTATGTTTCTGCAGGAGGTGATCCTTCTGATTTCCGTTTATCGTCTGTTAAAGTTTCAGACGGAATAAAGTTAGTTCACCGGGCACTAAGTAAGATGGACTTAAAGGGTAGTTGGGACAGTGAGCCCTCTCAAACCTGCGATTCGAGTGATGCTTGGCTTGGGGGAATAGAAGTTTTTGATGAAATAATGAGCCTTCCCAACGGGATTGCAAATCCCACTTACGATGTCATGAATTTCAATTTTAGGGCCTTTGTGAAAGTAGGGAGTTGGCAAGAAACCGTAGGACTGGTTGCTCCAGACAACAGTTTAACACCGTGGGAAGAAAGAAAAGATATTGTCTTCGTAGGCCCACACTACACTTCACCTAGTGGTTTCGGTAGTAGTCTAACCGGCTATCATCTCAGAGTTGGTACAATTCATGAGCCACCAATTGCCATGATGAGTGATAGCTGCACTGAAAACCAGTTTTCTGACCCTGACTGCTGGTACGGGTGGTGTACAGACATAATCGAACGACTTTCAAAGGATCTGAATTTCACCTATGAGTATGTACGACCTCATAAGAACAAATATGGTGCCTTCCAAAAGGACACAGGAGCTTGGAATGGAATGGTTAAAGACATCATCGAGTCAAGAATTGACCTAACGACAGCTCTTGCTATAAATGCTGCGCGTTCTCAAGTCATCGACTTCTCATCTCCTTTCTTTGAAGACCAACTCGCAATGGCTGTTTACCCAAAATCAACACGGAGTTCTTCAAACATGTTTTTCTTTCTAGAACCCTTCCATCAATCAGTTTGGGTATCCATCATAGGACTGGTTGTACTAATTACCTTGTTGACCAACTTTCTAAGTAAATTTTCTCCATTGGGAGACTTCGGGAAGAAGATCCATTCAATGCAGGTATGTTCTTGCGAGCAATGCTTTCTTAGAAGGAAAGTGAAAGCTGAAAGGATGTGTCGATTTGCAGATACAAAGACACACGATTGCTTGGTTGACGAAGTTTTTGATCATGGAAATACCCTCGACTTAAGTAATTCAACATGGCTGATAGGAACAGGTAACAACATGGCTGGTAGGAACAGGTAACAAGGGGGGGGGGGGGGGGGGGGGGGCAACCTCATAAATATACATAAATACCTATACCCCCAGCTAAGTTTTACAAGAATCTAAATAATATTATTTTTAGCCCGCTTAGTATGGGATACCATAGTATAGGTAAAGAGCCATTTTCATTATCATCTTTTATAACATCAAGTATGTTCAGATTTGTAATCAATAATTGCATCAATATCGTACATGTATATTGTATATAATACCTATAAATAGATCATATAAAAGTCACCTGCAAGGAGTAACTTTAAACTTATTTAAAAAATCAGTTTATTTCAGGCTTTGTCCTACAAGGAACAGATAAACTACCTACGGCGCCCTCCGGAAGATTCCTTCTCTTCACTTGGTGGTTCTTCGTTATGATACTAACTTCAATGTACACAGCCAATCTGACAGCTCACCTGACCATGAACTGGTCAGGTGCAAATATCTACAGTCTAGAAGACTTGCTGACTCAGAGAGATTACTCCTGGGGCCTGTTGGCGGATAGGAAATATGGGCAGTATGATGGCTGATCATCTGAACAAAAAGTACAATGAAGTAGCACGGAAGGCAAGGAAATTTGAACGTTTGGATGAAGGGATAGGAATTGTAAAAGAAGGTGGGTTCGTCTTCATTGACGAGTCATCTGTCCTAGAATTCAACCTAAAAGACGATTGTAATAAAACAATTATCAAGACAGGGAAGTTCATAAACCACTGGGCAGTTGCAATGCGAGCCAACTCCCCTTTTGCACCAATAATCAACAAGAAGTTTTTACAGTACCGTTCAGAAGGATGGCTAACATCAACGATAGAGAATTGGTATTCAGCTGATGGCAAGTCTTTTTGCAAAGACTCCCAGGATTCTACTAGGTTTGATATTCAGGTGCTATCTGGCCTTTTTCTCATGTTGGGTGTCGGTATTATGATTTCTCTCATAGCGGTTGTCTTGGAAATACTTCACGTGACTAGCAAAGATAGCAGAAGGACCGGTGATACCTTTTATAGATGTTTGAGAAAGCGTGTTGTCTCCAAATACATTGAAATGAAAGAGGAGTGGTTTAAAGGAGAAGATCTAAGAGTTTAAATACATCACCCAAGATAAGGTAGGACAATTAAAAGGCTGAGGTGAAACAAAGCTCATACGGTGGAAATTAGAATGAACTTTGGGAATCACGTGATTCATCTTAAACTCCGATTTTTTGAAGTTTTTCTTTCAGGTCGATATTATCAAGATTCAAGATACTTTAGTTCCTTTTTTTGGGTTAAACTTTTTAGGAAAATTATTTTCTTACTGTTTTTTATATTTTGAATCTTAGGTTTCGCATTACTAATATCTTTGAGGTATTTTCTGTTTTCGGGTAGAAATGTTTGGGCCAATTTATTTTTTACCTTCAAAAATTTATGAAATTTCTGATTTAATCAAATTCATCACCTTATAATTTATATATTGTTCAAGATTCTGACTATTTTCCCTAACAATGTTAAATCTTGTTTCATTGAATAAACGACTAATTTTCATATGCAGCATATCAAAGGGAACTCAGCAAACCTTTGTATCAAAGTTAACGGATGATACGCTAATTACTAGCTTATCATGTTATAATGAAATTATAACATTACACCGTGACAAGATCAATGGCCCCAAATCGACCGTTTTATCCTGTGTAATAGCTTCTTTTATCTACCGTTCCTTACAATTTAGTCACGGTGTATTTACTGACCACTAACATTACATTAGCTAAACGTCTTGATGAAAGGTACAAATAAACTCAACAATAATTTGAGACACATTCGGTTAAGTGCGAATGTTTTCCTTTCCCCGTCATATTTTCACGTTTTAAACTATTTTTTAAAAAGACTTTTAATATTAATGAACGATACGATATGATACGATATACTAACTTTGACACATTGGTTTTGTACGATAGTTCAATTTTAGACCGGAAACTTTTGAACTTCGTGATCTGACGTATAAAATTATACAATAGATCTTAAAATCTAATCTATAACTTCAGTCCCGGTAGTTTTTTCTAATTTCTATTCTTAAAGTGCTTCAAAACTGCAAAGAGCCGGAGTAGGTGTTATATTTAATACTTTTTAATACTTTCAACACAAATAATTTGAGGAAACGATGTAACAGAGCCGATATGTTTTAATGTTGCCATGGGGTGGCAAGTCCCCATGCATCGTGGTCCGATAGTTTCACTGCATCTTAATATACGAGCAACAAACTGTTATTTGAAAGCGCGTTCGTCAGAAAACATGTATTGGTTTTGTGAAACTAGTTGGTTTCTGTATAATATCTTTCATTCAAATTTATGGTTGTTTCTGAATAGACTCAGTGAAGACAGATTCTAATGGAAATAAATAGCTGAATAACGTTTCGACATTTTTACGTCATACTCATATTATCAAATTATTTATTTTAAGAAGTGTTGAAAGTATTAAATCACTTTGCAAATATCTGATAAATCACTTTGCACATATCTGATAAATCACTTTGCACATATCTGATAAATCACTTTGCACATATCTGATAAATCACTTTGCAAAGCCGTCTATCAGCCGAATCAAATATTTGACAAATCCAGAAAAAATGTCTATAATAAGGTCAATATTATTAATAACAAGGTTTATCATTACATATTAGAAATTACATTTCCAAGCTGACTATATTATATAGAAAATGTTGCAAATATAACTTCCTGAATGGCTGGACACACTTTTACGTTACGAATTTTCATTGGAAGCTCAGGCTGAACATCAAAATATTCAGAAACTTCGTATTTATATTATAGAGGCAAATTTTATCATAATGGATCCCTGGAGGTGATTCAACAGTCAAACCTTGGGGTGATAGATTAATAATGGTGTCAGGTGTATTTAAACAGTATGCTATGTCAACAACTTGGTTCATTAGTATATTAGATTTCCATAATATTCCCCATTTTGATTTTAGCGTAAAACATACTCATCATGGTATTTGGTTATCCGTATCTATAACAATCTGAGCAGTGATCAGTAGCCATTGTGGTCTATCAGTGCGACACTTTATCTATTACGCACAATCTACTTATTGAGATAACTGCTCAACCAATAAAACATTTGTTTTTCATACCGCGTGACCTTAGATATTATACTATGTCATCAGCTTTTACTGTGCAATCAGTAATGATAACAGCATCTAAAAAGCTTTGTATTGCATTCTTTTAGAATTTTATCAGTTGCAGATTACTGATTAGCAATGTCAGGTATGCGTCAGGAATGCCTGTGTGATTTATATTTAGTTTCTAAATTGCATTTTGTTACGTAACAACTTATTGTTGGTTGCGAACTATGCATCATGAATCATAATAGATTGACAAAAATAAGCAATGATTTAGAGAAAATCCCAGTTTGGTCCCGGCTAAAATGCCAAATTTTGACCGGGACCGGGATTTTGACCGGGACCAGGATTTCGGTCGAGCCTTGGTCATCCTGTGCATATACCCATCACCCATGGTCAATAACAGCATAACGCCCTCAATTGCAGAAGTTTTGTACCTTCTCCTAAACTGTTCTCTAAAAAAATTTCACATAAAAATTAGGTCTGGGAACCAGTAATTCTCAGTCTGATTGTTCCTTAATTGGTGGTATATTAGTTGCTGTTAACAGCGACTATTTTGTAACGTTCGGAGGTGTCTCGAGACCAGACAGTCAAATAATTTTTATATGATTCTTATTTCTTGGCGCGGTGGGTATTATACTGTTCTGGACTAGTCAAGCAACAATGTTTTAACTTGTTGCAGTGATGATAGAGGTCAAATGTCTGATTTAATTATTAGACTAGCTATGGTAAGAGTGCTCGGTAGTGATATTCATTATTCGTCAATGTTAAATTCTAATGCGGTTCCCTTTTACACTGATTACCTTTATATTACAATATTACCGACCAGGACTTGATAATAAGTGATAACCAAACATCAGCGGTTAAACTCAATAACTTTTAAATGTTATAGACGAATGTTTAAATCTCTTTGTTACTGATGTTATGGATTATCCTCAGACAGGGATGGGCTGAGTAATCTTCAGAGCACTTGTGGCTCGTAGTTTTATAGCTTGTATAGGTTGCACGTGCAGCGCTTGTTTTGCACGTGCAGCATCTTTTCTGCAAAATGCACGTGCACCTTTGTCGCGTTTATACAGCGTCAGAAACATGAGCTTTCCCAAATTGAGCTAGCTCAATTTTAACATGGTTTTAAGGCACCTGAATATGGCGATTTTGGGTTTTTTACCGAATTTATAACACGCTGGCGCGTATTTTGCGCAAATTTCTTAAAAACCTCCACATAACTATTTCTTGTTCCTGTCATCTTTAACATTGAATTAGAATGATTTGAACTTAAATATACCTGCTGAACTACTTTCGATGAGTCTTAATGCCTGAAAAACAATAAAGGGGTATAAAAGTAAAGGGGGTAAATATAAGTAAAGGGGGTAATAAGTATTGTGAATATAAGAGGCACGGTCATGCTTGCCAGCATTGTGATAGTGCAGATAATTATTTACTCTTCGAATTTATGTTCCTTCACTTTTTCTGCGATAATTTTAGTGACATTAAACGAAACATAAATGTATCGTAACACACGTTTTCGATGTTGTTGACAATGAAAACGTGATATTTTTCGATCTGAAACTGGAGGAGAATAGGATGACTAATAAACTTGAATAATATTTGCTTATTAGCTCCTCTCGTCTTTGATTATAAAGCTACAGCTCTATAGAGATGTTGCATTGCTGCTGGCTAGTTGAGTTGATTTACGTACTCTAGTTCGACACGCACTATAGATCGACAACTTAAGTTCGCCAGATATCACGGCCCCTGTCGAACTTCGGTACGTGTCGAACTAGAGTCCAGGTAGCGTACTCTAGTTCGGCAAATAGTTTCTGCATGTGATCCAACGGCTATTGCCGACCGCCGGGTCCTCATCATAGGATCACAGGGTTCAATGGCAGATAAAACAATTTTCTGATATCTAGCAACCAGCGGTTAGCAATTCCAGAACCTTTTAGTATAGTTTTAATATAAAGTGTGGTATGTGCCCTATGTCATATGTGGTAGATACATATTTATATAGCGTACTCAACAATCTAGATCTATAAAACGGAGTACGAGTTACCACGATAGTCTTTTATCTCTCCGCTAAGTCTACAATTCTGCTAACTAACAATTGAGTCTGAGGTCAATTAGATGTTCATAGATATGGATTATTATACACATAGCTGAACAGCATGAAACAAGTGGAAATCATACAAACGAATACATTTCAAGCTCGTAAAGGATCGTTGCTTGAGAATTGAGATCGGAGATTTCAAAACTCTAGTTCGACGCAGTCGAAGTTTTCTTGTCGAACCTTAGGGTTTGTCGAACTACAGTACGTGTCGAACTAGAGTGCGTGTCGAACTTGAGTAGTGAGTACGTATATCAGTTGAGTTGGGAGTAATTTTAGTCACATGCACTTGTTCTCTATTTACTGTTGTTACTATAGTTGGTGCCATCTCCCACAAGATTAGTGCGTTGTATCCTATGTTATACAATGTTTGTCTCATTCCTATTAATATTCCAGAACATTTCTGGGTTGTCTAGATTAAACACTGCTGAGTAAAATTTGTAGCTTAATTAAACTTTAATTTATTATCATATTACGGTATATATTATATACCCATAGCGTATATATTATATACCCATATATTGGCATAGCATTTTCGTCATTCATTATACTATTATAATACCCCCTCCCACCACTTTACGAAAGATTAGTCTAAGAATTGAATTGAATTATAAAATTTTGCAACTCGAATGAATATTCAATAATTTAGACAAAATGGTTATACATATTTTATTATACGGTGTCATGATATGGACCCCTTCATCTTCCATGATTTGTTTACTGCTGCACACCATGATATTCATAAGATTTGTACTTACTTATCAATAAATCATAGGGCAGCCACAAAGTTTAATTTCATGAACAACATTAGGAGTCGTTCGCATATTACGTAATCGATGGGGTCAGGCCTTGATAAGTGATTACGTAATATTGCTGCCAGGAGGGGGAGGTGGTTGGTTCTTGATAACGGTTAATTAAGGAGGCCGGAGGGGGGATTGGCACAAATTTCCTTAGATCCTTGAAAAAAAAAGAAAAAGGTCAGGTCGTTTTTGTGCCCCCCCCCCCCCCCCCCACCCACAGCTTTTTGGTGCCCCCTTCCGAACCTTTTCGTACCTCAAAATATTGTTTCGAGTCGACCGTTAAGTTGTTTGTGTTTCTGCAAATCGTATCATGTTTCGTTAAAAAAAGACCTACAATTCGCGAAAATCGCCGCCCTCTGATGCCCCCCCCCCTCCCCTCCCGCATAGCTTGGTCTACAGGCCCTTTGTTACGCCACTGTCTTGGTCTGGTTATGCAATAATTGTCAGACCTCCCCACGTTGTAATCTCGCCTCTAATGACTTACAATTTACAGATTATAATGAACTTCATATGGGTAACATGTCTGAGGAATCCAGTCCTCGTATAAGACTTAATGTTATACCGCTCTTCTCTCAGATCTTCAAGCCAGCTCATTGCATGACTGGGTTTTATCTTTTACCTGCTACATTATCTTAGTGAGAGCAAGTAAGGTCTTACACCTTACAGCAATTAGACACTCTCAGATACGTAGCACGTCTATGTTGAAGTGGTAAAGTTTCGTTGATGCGGCAAAATGTTTTGTCTCACGTTGCGACGTCAACTATTTTTCAAATAGACGGCCCAGACAGTCCAGTGGGCGTGTCATGCCACGCAACGTCTGGTTACAAATTTCATGGTGCAATAGAATTCTGATCGGTGGCTCGAACATTGTAAATTTTCCCAATAATGAAGTCTTCTAGGAACCTGCCAGAATTCCAGAGCGATATCCGGTTTGCTCCGGTATACCTTCATTTCACCTCATATACATGTCGGATTTCTAAATCGGAATTTCATCAACTTGCTATTGATCAACCTTTTAGTTTGCAGTTGATACCGATTTTCATTTGTAAAGACATTATTTGTCTACTTTAATGAGACATCACTTAATATCTAATTAACCTGATTTCATTCATATGCATTGAAGTTTATCAAATTGAGAATGCTCATTTTGAGAATACATGTAATATTCAATAAGGTTATTTCATTTTGGTGAATATAAAATAGATCAGGAAATTTTGGTTCCGTGTCAGCTCAGTCAGGAATTAGGTAAACCAGATTTTGTTTCTATTCTATTTGACTTAGGTGCCTAAGTGGGGTTCGCCCTGATTTGTATGTGGAACTTGTTTTCGAGAGGGCCCGTGACCGCCCCCCTACCAACCACCCCTTAGTTTTACTTTTGGAATTAAGGACCCCCGGCTTGATTCGGTTTCAAGATTGGTAATAGCCGCTTCGGTCGTTACCTTTACCCTTATGAAATTATGACGGTAGCTGCCATACTAAGAAGTTAGAATGTCGCACTTCTCCAAAGATCAAAAGATCAAAGGAGCTACTCTGCACCATTTATTATTTGCATAACTATACTTGATTTCCCTAAATGGTAAATCTGGACAGGACAGAACTTGGGCTAAGAAAGTGAATTTAGTTTCAAATATTTTAGAAGCTTCTTTGTTTCAAGTTAGAAGATACGTGTAGTCAATTTATATTTGATACGTCAGTGGAGTGAGGCGTAATCGGTCTCCTGTCTTATCTTGCTACTTTCTACTTCTTTTAATCTAAATCATATCAGCGCTACTACTATTAATACAATAAAGGACACGACATATTTTAGTTTAATTTGGTTAAAGTGAGAAATCAAGTACTACACTGCGACGAGTACGATACACAACAACATATTTTAGTTTGGTTTAATTTAGAATTACACGATTAAGGGTTGAGAGATGATATCAAGCTCAGGTCTCTCTCGCGTCCACACTTGTCAATCATCACCTCAATGAATAAAATATGATAATTAGGATTAAATACTCCACTGGTAGCTTAATTTTAGAATATTCTGCTTTTATTCGTGTCGTAAGAGGGATTTAACTAAACTATATCAATTGTTATAAACGGCTAAGACGCGCATGCTTAACTTCGTAAGTTATCCGCAATTCTACTTTTGAAAGCTTTATTTCTTGGTACTCAAGTGATTATTTCCTGCGATTTCTGTAGAAAATTTATGATTTTACTTATTGTAAATATAATGTTAAAAACTTTTCTAAGCCTACTCGAGTCAACAATTACTATAAAATTAAGACCGAATTTAATTTACGTATTTAATTTACATATTTAATTCCAGGATTTATGGAGCAATGATCAGCCAGGTTTGAAGATCTCTCTGGCAGCCCTAACTTGACGTTGTATTGTTTAGTCCCTGCTGCTTGTGATATTCTGACTCAATGCCTTCTATCACTACCTCAGATGTACCTCGTACAACTTCTTATCTGGTATCATTTATGACTGAAGACGTGAAAATCCGATACTTGCTGGTGGCTTATTTTTTGTTCGTCCTAATTTCATCTCTGATAGGAGATTCTATCGTCTTAGCTGCTTCATTACAGCCCAATGGTATAAGACTAAACAAGTTCATTGTCACTATTATGCAGCATATCGCGGTATCCGACCTGATTTCATGCTTCTCTTTCGTTTTACCCAATGCAGCATCCTTGATCGCTAACAGATGGGTCTTAGAAGACCCTCTGATGGACATTCAAAGGTATGTGGATGAGGTTATATTTGGAGCCAACACAATTCTAATCGCTCTTCTCAGCACAAGCAAGTTGTTGATGCTAAAATATCCCGCTCACATACCAAGATGGACCATTAAAAGTGCTCATATAACATGTGCCTTGATATGGTTATTCGCGAACATTTCACCGGCAACCTTCCGAATACTTGTAATGACGGTGGGGTACGAAGTGATTATGCAAGGAACTCTGTGGCCGGTAAACTATTTAGCTTACTTCCTAAACGGAATCACTCTGTTTCTCCCAGTGATAATCATGATCATTACCACGAGTCTTATCCTCTGTTATCTTGGTAAGGCCAGGAGGGTTGCACAGAGGAGTGGGGGTAGAACGAGGCTGCGAGGTGTTGCTACTGTGGTGATCACTGCTATCATCTATGTCATCTCCGTCACTCCTATCTCGTCCATTTCACTCTACTTATATATAGATAAGACTGCTGACTTAAGCTTGCTCTGGGGGTTCGCCACCCCTTTCACCGCTCTTAACATAATGTCTAACATCTACGTGTACTACCTTACCATCCCCAGTTTGAGAGAGTTCATCAGGGTGAAGATCCTACGAAGACCTCCTCTAAGACATCATAGTCTGGTTTCGAAAAGCTATTCCAGAAGTTAAACTGAACAATTAAGTCAAATTGGCGAATTAAATAAGAGGTATTAATATTGCTGAATATAAAGCTATGAAACAGCTATAACTTTGGAAAATGTTATTCGAAGTTTATTGATTTTATCTTTTCTGAGCTGAGCGAAATGTTTTCCGTGTAAAATTTTTAATGTTTTTTGGTACTGTCAACGAGTCGACACTTCTATAATGATAATTTGAGGACGTTTAAAATGGGTTTCCACAAAAAACCCATTCTTAAAGTGCGATCTACAGCTGTTCTTAAATATTTCTTTAGATTTAATCTGTATTCTGTTGTTTCAATGTTCCTTCAATAGACAATTAATAAAATTTAAAGAAAGAATTCCAACAAGATCAAATTCAACCACTTTACACTCTAGTATCTCTTGGCTAGAACGAAGTAACCAACAACGCGTAGATCGGGATAAAGATAGATCGCGTAGATCGGGATAAAAACAAATACATAAATAAACAATAAATAAAAAAACCAACTGAGGTATCAACTTTACCTCGTTGTTGGCCTTTTATTTAAAATGAAATTGAAAATAAATCTCACCTGGTGAGTTGAATCCAAAGAGAGTGAGATTCAGCTAGCTCGAAGCTGACGAGTGAGGAGAAGGAAGAGGAGAGTTTCAGTCGGGCCCACAAACAAACAGCAATATCTGATGTTCTGGACCACGTGCGAGGGACAGAAACGTACGTGAGACCGTCACGGGACAGCTGAAGAGAGCTGGGCGCATCCACTGAGGGGAGAGTTGGCCTATCTTAGTTTGTAAACAATTTAGGAAGTAAAATAACATATTTTAATAAAAAATAGATAAAATAGTCAGATTTACTTCAAAGGTTCGTGCTAACTATCAGTCTCAAGGAGTTGTTTCTTCATACTGATATGTGCATTTACGTGAACTTAATTTAGCCAATTGTGAGTTTTCCAGATAATTGAAAGAAGTCATTAACATAAAACAATAACTTATCACTTAATGTTAATGACTTCTTATCACTGATAAGGTAGAGAATAACCTTGAGCAGGGCAGGCCGCTTCATCGCTGTTGTCAGCACAATGTTCCACCCCATCGCACCTAGCGTTGATATCCACACACTGACAGGAGTTGCAGAGGTAACCAGCTGTACAGGGGTCCGGGCAGGACCGGACACTGCACGTTGGGAGGGGCTCCCCACATTTAGCCTGGGAGAGGTTGTGTTTGTAGTTGTGGTAAAATGTTGTTTGAATAGCCAAGGCAAAGGATATCAGAATGATATATTTGCAAGTTCGGGCGATATACTTTTTGAATTCCATACTCAAAGATTGTGTTAAACTTACTGTTTTAGGGTGTTTTAGTAACAGTCCCTGTAAGACTTACTGTTTTGGTAACGGTCCCGCTGTGGTCGAAGGCCCAATGCCTACCACAATGTAGCGTGACGATGGCTCCAGAAACTACCACGTTTGGTGACGGGAACATTAGGTTGTGTCTTGAGGATATCTTCTTATCAACCCAGCACTTTTCTGAGGAATGGAAGTATTTGTTATGTTAAGAATCTTGATATCAACCTCGTACAACAAATTCTCACTGCTTGGAATCCAGGAATGCAAGCATGCTGTAATTCTGCTCGGAATACCGACACTTTACTGCTGATTAGTGAGAATGGTCCATATCAGAGGAGAGCAATATATTGTCTCGGATCTAAAGCCCTGAAGTGAGGACCCTAGTAGTAGTACTGGTAGTGATCTCAGTGATCACAAGGAAAAATTAATCTTACGAAGCCAGTTCGAGTACTAATTCCGTACTTTTTTCGAATTTTTGCGTAAACTGGCACGAGGATCAGTGGCAACGCTTGTTTTATCCCGGAACTGTAAGCTGCAGTTACAATTACATCTGATTCCTTACATATCATCTCCTCTAATTTCGGCACTGTTCCTACGCCGACAGACCTGAGCGGTCTATTATAATCACAGGTCTACTGTGATCCGCTCCAGGAAATTGATTTTCCGGGTATGTGGTCAAGATTATAGCACAACATTCTGTGGCTAATTCTTGATTCAATTATCATGTCAAAGAATCCTAAATGTTATGCCTTGTTTAACAAGACGTCAATCGTGGAGCCGATTTGTTGCTTAAAAAAATCAGCGGACTGCCTTTGCGATTCGCATTTAATTTAGAGAGCAATGTCACTCCTATAAGTAATAAGTGTTCGTAAGCTTCAAGGTGTAAACGGTGATGATGCATTGTTGTCAACGGACCTCATTTATCATTTAATAACAAGTTAACAGGACAGTTCAATTCAGTAAATTAATGAGCAAACTCGTTCACGGAATGTTGGAAACCCCCCCTACTGAGTTACAATGCTCCCTACAGCACCTCACGTACCAGTAACTCCAGGAAGGAAATGCATCAGGGAACTGGATTCCGCAAGTGCTACTCTTGGGTTCTAAGCTAAGAGGTAATCTGGGTTTTTATAGCTGAACTTAAGGCAATTGATTCCTCAAAGGTTTTACATTTAAATTGTTCCTAAATACTCCTCAACGTGACAATTCATCTAGGAGTTTTCCTTGCAGTCCCTCCATAGACTAGAGTCAAATTGTTCCTAAATACTCCTCAACGTGACAATTTATGAAGGGGTTTCTCTCAGTCCTTCCATAGACTAGAGGAGACATTTGATAGCTTACCTACGTCAAAAATAGCTGATAAACAAGGTAGGAATCTCACGAAATGTTGTCTAATAATAAAAGTAGTAAAAGTAGTAAATGTAGTAAGTAATTTCCAACTTGATATATTTTTTATTAGAGCTCAGCTACAACTTCCTCTATCAATTAGATTGACATATTTTCAGTGCCTGCATGCAGACTGCAGTGTCAATCAATACCACATTACAAACTCTAGAGCTGAACATGACTGCATAAACATTATAAGATAAGCATCTTTGGGCTCAATTTGGTGTAAGTCATCGTTGTGGACACCCTTGGATCCCCATATCCAAAAACCCGCATTCTCGCATTCTAAGAATGTAGGAAATTTTTGACAAAAAGTAGGAAATTCGAGAGCCAACTCTGAGAATTTTCGATAATATTTCAGTAGGAATTTAAGTGAAAGAGCAGACTAAAAGTTGCTGGACCGTTATTTAAATGTCCTCAGTCAGGGGCACTCTTTTCTAAAAACCACCCATGGGGGGATGGGGGCGGCTATAGAAAACTTCTGCAAATCCCAATATAGACTACCATTCCAGTTTTGATAATAGCATTATCAATCATGTAATGTTGTGAACGGTCATCAATGCAATTGTAATAACTTTATGTCAGGAGTTCAAAGAACATTATATAGTATTATGAGTTGATGTAATACGTCTAAACATGCATAATGCATAAGCATTCTTTGTTGCGTTTCCTATCTTATTTAAATAGTAAATACTAATACCTTAGTTCCCAAAAATTTGTGTGCCATTATATTGAGCACAATTTATTTGAGCCCGAAAAATTTGGGCAGAAAATTTGAACTCATTTGGGCGACCGAAAATTTGGGCACAAATTCTTCGAAAAATGAACGATTTTCCACTAAAATTTCAGTTAGATATTTGCCTTAGTTCATTATTATTCCTTATTATTCCAGTCATTTTGCTTTCAATTTTAAGCATTTAGGTGGTAGTCTGAGTTGTTTCACATTGTGAAATTTACGATCTGCCCAGTAACTACTAAAAAAATACAGTGATGATAAATTGTTAAATTGATACCCGCTTGACAGTGATCCGTGAAATACACGCTCGTTGGATCAACGAACTTTTTGTATATTTAAAAGGGAGGCCAGATGACATAAGGAAAAGGCTTTGAGAAGTCGGGTATAACTGATGCTTGTAGATCAGACTTTACGGTGGATGATTATCCATTTGCAGATCTTGTTTAAATCTCTAGCTATCCGTACCTCTATCCATTTGTTTTATTAGTAGCTGTTAGCTATTCCAGTTATTTCTATTCATTTAAAATATAAGCCTTTTTACTTGGTCAAGCCATGAATGACAGATTGGAAAACTAAAATTTCAAATATTATTTCACTTGGATACGAAGAAAAAGCCATCTTTCTATAGATTTCAGGGCCACAGGCCAAATGCCAAAAGTTTGGTTAGCAAAAAATTTAGCAGACGGAAAAGATTTATGCAATTAATTTGGTCTGCAAAAAATTTGGGCGAGAGGCCCGCTCAAATTTTTTGTCGCCCAAATTTTTGGGAATTAAGGTAGTCATTATTATATTTTTGGAAAATTTAAATTCCTTGTTTCTTGAATATTTGGTCTCATACTTGCTTCCTTCTCCAAATTCCCTTAACCCTGTATTAGTTTATAGCTTGAAAGCAGAAAGTGATGGTAGTAGATGAGAAAACATTTTTGCCAAAATTATAAACTCTTGATACTTCATGCTGTCTCCTATTTCGTGCTTTAGTTAAGCCAAGTGTTTAGGGATTCTAGAATCCAGACAATTTATCCCAATAAAAATTGAAATCAAAAAAAAGTATGCTAAAATCGTTCTCCATTGTCAGATTCGTTCCAGGAGGCCAAATCTAGTTTAAATTTCCAAAATTTTCGGGGGCTTCGCCCCCAAAAGTAACCTAGGATTATCTATTAAAAAGCATTCCGGGCCCTAAAAAAGTAAAATTTTATGCGAGCGAAGCGAGCGGGCCACAGAAAACGAAAAAATTGAGAATGTAGGAAATTAAAAATTTTTTGGATATGGGCTTGGATCTACATTTAACACCGCTAAATCAACTTTAGAACGATGCATTTCTAGATTATGAGCCTGGTTAAATCGGAGACTCACACTTGATACCGGTTATAATCGATTGTATAGAAGAATTCCCATTAGGCTATTATACTCGAATAGTAATGGTCATTAGATGATCTGCCGTACAGTGAGCCTCTATCAGGTATTGCGGAATCTATCTGATTAGTGTATAATCCTACCTTGGCACTGTTCCATTCCTGTAGCTCCAGTGGTATGGGTCGTCTGGTGCTCCGGACAGGGCGAACACTCCTTTACTCCAGTAGAGTCCGAGTAGGTACCCACTGGGCAGGCATCACACGTGTTCCACTGAGTGGTGTACGTTCCAGGTAGACACATTCCTGAAATATAGGGGGTTGTTGGTAACATAACGGGGTAGTTTACTGTTTGGTATATCTTTAAAAACATCAAATTTGGCAGGAAGTTGAATCCACAAAAGTGGGAAATTTGACATTCTTCTGGCGGAACATGACAGCTTGTTACACCCTTAAGTTACTGTAACATAAATATTTGATATCCATTCCTTAACTGATGTTCCATTACTGAATCTTACTTATAATTCAAAGAATTATTTTTGTTGTATGTATGTACGACCGCCCACGTGAAAATCAGATGAGAAATAGGAATTTAGGTAACAACCAAAACGTTCCATAGCAACGGTGTTTTAATGCACACAATATGCACGTGCAATGATTTTTTAACGTCATTTTGATCGGTTTTGTGGTAATAACGTTGTGTTTAAAGTGTATTATATTTAAATCGGCTGTATGTTCGGTTGGGATGGATATTTTTTGAAAGAATACTACTAGCTTCGTCCCTGTTACCACGGGCTTTCTAGTATAATATAAATACACAGTAGGTTTATGATTTACATGAGTATTTGTTGCGAATACTTCTGTCTGATGAAAACATTTATATTAAGTTTCATTCCAGAGATAAAACTGTTATTTTACTTTTAACTAAAAGTCTAAAAGTGTTTCCCGATGTATGGATTGATTTATCCTAAAATTGTAACACCGTTGTGACCCGAAATGTGGCTTCTTTTCTTGCCTGACTTTTCCATAAATTAGAAGTTGGTGGTTAGGATCGAAGATACAAGATTTGACCGATAATTTAAAAAAGTTTAAAATCGTAAGGAATATAAGATTTATTTGAGGTTTAAATTTAGAATTAAAACAAGTCCTTCATATTAATATTATGGAGCTAGGGTGTGGAATGGCTACACCTGTACTTCCATCCCATTACATAATACTGAAATACAAATTTACAATAAATTATGTATTCAGTTATCTCAACCACAAACTTAAAAGTGTTATAAATTACTACAGAGAACGTGTTTTTTTCCTGCGAAATATTGGCCAAAATGACATTCCAGATGTCACATTTTGCTTAGTGCCACTGAAATGTGATTGGCAACATTTGATAGAACTAAATATGTGCTAAAATATTATTGACATTAACAGTAAGGCTATTGATCTGGACGCAAATTTGCGGATTCTTTTTCTGAATCCTTAATTTTTAATCAGTTGACTTCTTAGCACTTCGTTAAAGATGGGTCCGGTGAATTAACTCGGGCCCTGGCATATCTGCACTCCCAAATAGACTACTCGTCGGACAGGCACATACTTGACACATTTTTTAGGGTTTCGACACATTTTTAGGGAAAATTCTCGTTCTAACTCACCAAAGCATGGGAATTTAAAAACACAGAATAACTATGATTCATTATAAAACTCACGGCAAACGCTTCCCAGTAGTACTCTGCCTGAGCCGCAGGGGTTATCCTTGACAAGATACGGAGAGAGAACGTCAGTAACGGCGCTCTTCAGCTCTTCTCGAGAAAATTTCTGAGGATAATTGGTGTTATGTGGTGTTAGATGATTTAATTGTGGATGGGCGTTGATGGCAAATATGTGCATTTATTTATTTCTTGAGATCTGACAATAAAATAGGTAAATTATGTCGAGTTAAAGAATTATGTTGAGTTAAAGAATTATTCAAAGCACGTACGATGTCAAAGTTATCATATCTATCCAGTTTATCAATGGTGACATTGAGTTTGAGATCTTCAGAGTCAATTCTTCGTTTTCTGATCATGCAGGGTGGTAGATGGAAGTTTACTCGGCATTTCTCTTCCCTCACACAGATCAGCTTTTCAGGTACGTCTAGCAGACTGAAACATAAAAATGGTCAGAACTCAAAACTCAGAGCAAGAGGACGCTATAGGGGACGCTATAGGGGACGCTATAGGGGACGCTGTAAAAGACGCTATAGGGGACGCTATAGCGGACGCTGTAAGAGACGCTATAGGGGACGCTGTAAGAGACGCAACATGTTAGGTCTCACACTGCCGTGATATAGGGGCTAAAAGTGGAAGCTTGTAGCTGTGATATGGGTTAAACTGTGATTGGGGCTAAAAAACTGAAAGCAGCGCGATCCTTTTTAAGGGCTAATGTTAAATTTTCAAAAGTTTTTTCCTTTTTCTCGAATAATGAAAATTGTTTTGCACAATAATAAGGTATTAGATGTGACACATCAGGTAGGCGTTAATTGTCGTGCCTTAATAATGATACTTAATATCTAACATATTTATACAAAGCATAATAATAATGGAGCTGTCGTACGAGTTAATTGTTTTGCTGATATAAGTTAAAAGGAAAAGACGAGAATTTGCTACCATGTTAGTTGCCCCACGTGTGCTGTAGCAAACTTGGAATGCTTCCTATATCAAAATCTCAAATTCTCAGCATACCTAACAAAAATTCCTCAAATTGTTACCTCCCATCAAACTTACGTAAATATAACTACCGCACCATTCTGTTTCGGAAGAAATTGAACTTCGTCACAACAAGCCAATCTGAGTGTGCCTCCTAACCAATACTATGCAGTAATGCAGTGTTATTTGTTTCACACAATAACAATTATAGTAGTCTCCCCTAATTGACTCATTTGGTGACAGTTAAGCTTTGAGTGATGAACTTTATTGCATTCCTGGAGTTTTTACCTGTGTAACTTGTCATGTTGTCAGGATTTAGTATTCACAATTACACAGATATTATTAAATTACAATACTTATTTATCGATATATTCAAATATGTACATTATTGTACATACATTGATTGTATTAAGATCAAGTATTATTTACTTAACTTAGATATTTTTATAGATATTGGTGACTTGCTGTGCTATGGGAATCAATTTATCATCTACTAGAGATATTCAGGCAATAATGAATTTTTGATGACTAAATTTTAAGGTTATGTATGGAATTTGAGTGCAAATTGTGTGTTAATTATTATGGAGCTCCACACAATGCTCATTCATAATATTAATATAACACAGCATGTCGTGTTCAAGGTTGCTAACCTGTTTGTGAGCGAGGTGACGGTCTTTTCGTCCGAACATGGAAATCTCTTGGGGTTCAGTTCGTATTTTATCTCTTCGTGAAACTTGACTGAAAGATTTTCTGGGTTTAATTTTAGAGTTACAGAACAGATTTTCACGGTTAGACTTGAGGAGAGGTGAGGGGAGTAGTGCACAGACTTACAGATGATATTTGTATAATTAGACTGTTTGCTGCATGCTAGACGATCGTTTTAGAGTTCATCACTTTTAGGTCAGATGATCGGTCAGTAATCCAGGAGTGATATCAAACCTACCACACTTCCATGATAAAGTAATTATGTAAGCAATTCGTGCAGTCTGAAGTAATTGAATATTTGCATTTCTATAAAAACAAGCAATGCAATTGGGGATGTGTGACCTAGGAAACCATCCAAATCCAAGATTTGGCTAACGGAATATTCGATCAAATCTCTCAAATATTCTGACCAGATTTCACTAAGGATAATGATGGGTTTTTTTTTTCAAACTGAGTATGATAAAAAGCAATCAGAAATTTGACACGAACCGACCTGTACAGTGTACACGACTTTGTAAAACGGAAACTAATTTAGTATGCTGATATTTTGTATAATTTAACTGAAGATTTGTTGACCGAAATTACTTGAGTTGTAAAACTTTACCTCAAGACAAGCTGGATACCATGTTATAAAATAAATAAATAACTTTAATAATTGTGATGATAGATCAATAAAGTTGAAACTTAGTCAATTGAGTGATTTCTACAATAAGGAACTTTACCTGCGTTCGTTGCGACAACAAGCACAAGCGTGAGAAAGAGATTTAACATTACAAAAGGATCAGTTCCAGGACCATTCTCCTTTCTTTTGCTTAGAATAAGATTCAACTTATTATTAATGTACGAAAGTATAGTAAAAACAGAGGACACGACGCCCACGCGATATTACTTAATGATGTTTCCTCACAGTGCCAATGTAACTATCAACTTTGTAACAATTTTAGCAATAAAACAGCGATTTGGTATTCTGTCGACGAACACTTAACACTCTGTTGACCGTTCACGCGGGGTGGACACGCATATTTATATAAATCAAAATGTTCTAGCTATTTTTTGCTGTTTACCCTCTCATTATCTACAAGGCATTTAGCGTTCCAACAACCTCAACAGTCATTAACACATCAACGTCTTATAAGGACGTTAACAATATAATTGCTAGATCAATAGATTGCCGCCATATTTTGATTAAAATGATCGACACAAATTATTAACAACAAAATTTTAGGACCAAATTCCAGTGGGATCATTAATTCGGTCAGCTTTTGACTTTGAAAAAAACAAAAAATAGCTTTAATTTAAACCGCCGAAATACGGTCATTACCAATCTTATTATATTGGTTTAAAGGAGTTTTCATTTTGAGGATTTCAAGTAAGCCTAGATCAACAAATATCACATTCGTTTAAACATGTTTGATTGGATGCATGTTTTTTGAAATGCGTAAAAGCACATTGCTGTCCTTTTTTCTACAGCAGAATTGGTCCGTCACAAATGTACACGTGAAAAATAATAGCTGAAAGTAATGAATAGAAATCAGTAAAATCATTAGATCTTGTCAAAAATATAATTACCCCAATTTAATTCATTTTAATTGCATACAACAAACGAAACAGCTAGAGAGTTGTCTAATTTATCTATAACTGATATTTTTAACGGCTTAAAACATTTTTTTGTTTGTTTTAAAAATACATTTTGTACAGTTTCTTGTGTTATGAAGTGCGTGATCATTTATTTACACACCTACAGATCGAAACCCTTCATTTTTAGAGACCCTAGATCGATCCTATATATAAAGGCAGCGCGGTATTCGATACCTGAAAACGGCAGCAAAAGAGACGATTCTCATTTAAGATCAAAGACATTTAAAATTCATTTTCTTAACTTCTATAAATATAATACAACACAAACGTTTAAGAATTGACAAACTTGAGCTTCATTCAGGATCATAATATCGGCAGCAGCTATGCGTTATTCACTAATTCAATTTACTCTTAAAATACCCCCTACAACCTATCACGATGCCTTTTTGACGACACGCAGAACACGAATTCAGGATCCAGCGGGGTCACTGCTGGAAAATACATACGATGGATTGCCAAAAGGCATGCGAGTAATACCACTATTTGTTGATCAGTGACGAGAGAAAAGAAGAAAAACATAAGTGTATGACGTATAACGTTAACCGTTTCACAGGTTCATCTCGTATCCTAAACAAAAGCTGATGAGTGTTAAACGGTAGCCTAATTCTAATAAGGATATTATATATAACACTGTATTCTAACACTCCGATAGTAGAATAACATCCCAAAGACTTAACCAGTCCTGCATGAAGGACAACTATCTGAAATCTTAAAAAGATGTAAAAGTATAAAGCTGAGATAAAACATCCTACTATGTATAAAGCGAGACGATATATATAGGTATATCTGTACCATTTTACTGACACGACGGCATCAACTTTAATATATGCGTTATATATGCCTTAAATTAAACATTTTATAAAAATATGAGCAGTGAATAACGGGAGAAAGACAATCCAACTTACTCACTTACTTAGTGTGTAATTATTCGTCACATTCCAGTGATTCAAGCAAACCGTCAATTTTTGAAAGTTTATGGAGGCTTCGGGTGATCTTATTGCTGAGAAATTTATCTTTTACAAGGCTTTGCTCGGAGCTTTACTTCCTTGAATATAAATTAAATAGCGGAATATAATATTTGAAGGTAACGTTTTATTAGTTTGTCAACTGGTTCTAATTTTAAATCATCTATATATCCTGATCTTTCAATATCAATGCAAACTGTTTGCAGTCTTGCTTTATACATGGTCACAAGAGACTTCAGTGACTAAACTGTAAGTGTGACAAACCAAGTCAATAACTTTACCACTTGTAACCACGACCTGATTTGATCGTGTAAAAGCACAGAAATATTAATACCTAGACCAATACAATGCTCCAATAGGAAATCCTAAATCCTTATAAAGGTGCAGCCATTACAAAGGGGCTTCTGAATGGAGAATTTATCAGATTCTGTAGAAATTATTAGCTCTGAGAATTTAAAGTTGTAGATTAATTTTACCAACATAGCTGAGCTCATCCAGGATAGACCAGGATAGTCAACATATAACTAATTGACTTAAATGACTATATAAGTATAACATAACAATGTAGGTCCACAATTGTTAGAATATAATATATTCTAACAATTGTGGACGTACATTGTATTATAATAGCTACGATTGGTACCAACTACCGTTAAAGCAAAAGTATCAAGTGCAGACCGTAGTGTGAAAGGAATGAATATCACAGGTCATGTACTAAAGTACTAAGATTTTAACAAACTTTTAACAGACGTTTCAAAGGTATGCATTTTTATTTCGTTCACGGCGGAATTCGTGCACTTTTTTAGCCCGAGGACCAGACCTAGACCTTCGGCTTTCTCGCATGTCTGATCGTGAGTGCAAGAATAGTGTAACCGTGTGTGAAGAAGGAAACGCAGAACAACGAAATAGGGAATTGAGAAGAACAATTTAAAGGCTTTTTGGCTACGATTCAGTTGAACAGGATCCTTGTAATGAGTTGCAAGGATCTGCCAAAAGTGATAGCTGATCTTACTGCGTGGTAACTAGAATATCGATCCAATCCTTATAACGTCCGGAATTAGAGAACTTGTACCTTTTATTGGCAAATCTTAAGAAATCCTACAACCGGACCTGTAGATCAAAGGATGATATGTGAGATGACGTTAGAAAATTAAATGGGAGTACCTCAATTTGGTTGGAATCCTCAAATACCAAGATGAAACTTGCGTGCTTTGAAGCCGGATAAATACAGGACGTTTCAAATATTTGACACAACTGCCATTAGTAAACAAATAGAGCAACCGTTAATCGAAATTACCATTAAACGTACTCACGTCAGACTTGTAAAACTATGAGGAAGTATTACGTCAAACTCCAGAAATATGATGTCTAAATAGATTTGTCTCAGGGGTAGGGGACATGTCTCTACACCTCAGAGAGCACTGTCACATTTACCCATACCTCAGCTCCGGATAATATCCATCTGATTCGGTCAGGGCTCAGTGAGTGAAGCGCAGCTTCAAACATCTCCAGTAACGAGAACAAACGAGAGGCGTCAGAATTGATTGGAGGAGAGAGATTTAAGGCTTAAATTGGGTCATATGAAAGAATACACATGTCCCAGATACCCTAAGGCCCATACGTTCACTAGGGTACCGTCAGGGGTGCACATTTGGATCATACAGTTTCTCTCATACGACCCAAAAGTGAGTGGACAAGACAAAAAGATTTCTAAAAGTGAGTGGACATGACTGAGTAAGAGCACGGTAGCTGATGTGGCAGTGTACAGGCAGTGTACAGGCTGTATACAGGCTGTGTACAGGCTGTGTCCGGACTGTTATCTGATGTCAAAGGACCGGCACGTTATAATCACTACAATATGTACATCAAGTGCTAATGTGATAACTCAGCCACCACCAAGGAAACAACGCATTAGAAAAGAGAAGTACAATTAATGGTAATAATATGTAGTAATACGCAGTGTTTTAAATCGTCAACTGTCAAACTATCCCAACAAAATCAAGTAAACCGAGCACATACAAAAAGTTTGGGTCGATTGATTTTGCCTAGTTCACCGCCAGGCACAGAAAAACATAACGGTTATATTTCTGCCGTGAAGTCTTGAGTTGGAGTGGTCGATGTGCTGGTGCCATACTGCTCATTGGTGCTCAATCATTATTGTGATAGGTTACTTGTTCTCACAAAACACGAGGAGGTTATCCTGAGCTCTGATTGGTTGGTTTGTTTCGGTACTTAAACAGTGGTCTGGGGTTCCGTTGCATCAAAACTCAAAATGAGCATGATCTTGTGACATCGTAATGGAAAGTAAAATTACGAATTATGACGCACCTAAAAAGTTGAGCTAGGATTAAGTTTAAAAGTTCTGAGTATGTACGTGTCATGGGTTGGCTAACTATTAAATGGTGAGGATTTTCATATCGAGTGTTGAGCTCATTTTGAAATTAAGTCATTGACTGTATAACTTAGGAGTACAGAGTTAAGACAATATGAGCTATACAACCAAACATGGCTTTAAAACTGATTGGCGTTAAAAAGCTGAATATAAGAGCTTACGATGGAGTGGTCTTCGTGAAAATTGACATCCAATTAATGTAAGATTTATAGACTGAATTGAGAAGATACAAACTCAGGAAACTTCCAAAATGAAGACAATACGTGTGCCATTAAGTCTGAATAATATGAAATTATGGCCAATGACGAGTTTGAAATAAACTTCTTGGCAAGAATAGGGTTCATGACAAAAAATTGCAAATTTGAACGTACGTCAATTGTGTCAGTAATTTGTAAGAACTCATGAACGCATATTAATTGTTCTCCTAATTGACGACAGTAAATAAACCCAATATAATCATTAGTAAGCTCAAGTTGCTGTCAAATGTCAATGTTTATAGTGCAGTAGATTTACAATAGCGGCTCTTATAGGCTTCTCACCCCCGGTCCCAAATATCTAATGATGGGGATATCCTTCTTCTCGACTTGTTTAACATTAAAGGGGTTGATAACTGCACAAGAATCCGGATGCAGCACACGTGGAACTATTGTTAGGTGGATCCTTAAGGGCTACAGCCGACACTAAACACTTCATACTTCATGCACATACTTTTGATGAACTTGTGCTCGTAGAAGAATATAGGGTTTGGGTAGAGTGAAGTGTCTTCAGATTTTTGGGGAAAATATAATTTTAAAGCGTTTCTCTAAAAATCAAGGATG